GATATTACACACTTCTATTTAAACTATTAATCTTAATTATATTATTTAATTTTGGAAGTCTTCTTTACAACTTCAGGTTAAATGTAGTGTTTTCTTGAGGGTCTGTGTTTTTCTATACAGAAAATTCTCAGTATCTTGGGCTCTAACAATTAAAAATTCCATGTGGAATCATTAAACAACCAAACTTTTATTTCTTCGTACCAGAAAGCAATATTTTGTCCCCCCAGACTTTTTTCCTGTTGTTACATAACTGAGGCCACGCAGGAGGCTGTAATTTCTAATCACAAATATTTACCAGTCCTGTAACATCCATGTCACTGAGAAATTAAACTTGGTTCTAGCTAATGAAAAGCTTAGCCAGGGGATGCACCAGTGTTAAGCTGTGGGGATCCATTAATTTCCTCAAGATTTGTGTGTACAGGACTTAAACAAGGAATATTTGAAGAGGGAACCAAAGAGCTGAGGTTGATGCCATATTTCGTGGTACACTGTAATTTCTCTTGGAAGCGGTAGAGCAGTAATCTGGGAATTTTGGCTGTCATCCTGCTACTATTTATGAGCAATTTTAATACAGTAATTACATGTAGGGAGAATTGTTCACTAGGTTGATGAGATAAATGGAAATTTAATCTTTTTTTTCTTGTTTGGTTGTCCAATATTTTTATGGCATCCTTCTGGAAGCAAGGGGATGTAATAAAAGAATCTGGAACTCCATTGCTCCTTGGAAATACTGATAGTTTGAAAGATTTGCTCAGTGTAACTTAAAGGCAGCTCATTAAACAAACAAATGAGCTGTCCTTAGAGCAATCAGTATTTACTATTAACTGAACAGCACAGTAAATAATGAATTGCAGGTAAGGAACTACAGATAAGTATTTGCAGTGAATTCAAATTACTTGTCTTAAGCCTGAGGCAGAGAAAAGCAAATAGAAAGTCAGAAAGAGAAGGAGGAGGGGGAAGAAGAAGGGAGAGGAGGGGTTGCAAATGTAACATTTGTTGCAGCAATCCGTGCTGATTTGTGGTGCAGAAGAAAGGTTTTCCTGGGTAATCTGGTGCCCCCATCCCTGGTGCACGTGGTGCTGCAGTGAGTCCACCTGAGAGCAAAGGAGGATGTGGAATTCCTGGGGAAAAGGAGAAGAGAAGGCTTGGGGGAGACCTTATCAATTTTACCAGTACCTGCAGGAAGAGGGATTTTGGACAAGGACATGGAGGGACAGGACACAGGAATGGCTTCCCAATGCCAGAGGGCAGGGATGGATGGGATATTGGGAAGGAATTCCTCCCTGTGAGGGTGGGCAGCCCTGGCACAGGGTGCCCAGAGCAGCTGGGGCTGCCCCTGGATCCCTGGCAGTGCCCAAGGCCAGGCTGGACACTGGGGCTGGGAGCAGCCTGGGGCAGTGGGAGGTGTCCCTGCCATGGCAGGGGTGGCACTGAGTCATTTTTAAGGTGCCTTCCACCCCGAACCATCCTGTAATTCTGTGAAAAGCAAGACTCTGGGCCTGACCCAGCTCAGAGAGCAGGGCTGATGCTTTTCCCAAGGTCAGGATTTTGCAAGTGGGTCCCTGGCACCATCCTGCCCCAAGGACAGAGCTGTTCTTTGGCACCAGTGAGACCAAAACCTGCCCATGGCTGCCAAGTGCCTGCACAGCTCCCTCAGTCATTTCTCCAAATTACTTAGGCAGCGAAATTGTTCATTTGCTGGGAGCTGGCACACGTTGAGAAGTTTGGGTTTGGAGTTTAATCATCGTTGGAGTGAGAGATTGTGCTGCCTGGAGTTTGGGTGTGTGGCTGTGTCTGAAGGCAGGATGGATGGGCAGGATGGATACTGCAATATTTGGGGGATATTGCTCATTAAGTAAGGGGCTCGGGGTGTTTTGGGACTGGAGGTGAGAGGGAAGGTTGGGGATTTAATCAGGATCTCTGCAGTTTCACCTGAGGCCTGCTGGGACAGCCAAAGGCGTGACAGATATCCTAAACACCCAAAGCTTGGCAGCCCTGCCTAAATGTCACCTTAAAAAGGTGAAGAGCTTGGCCCAGGTCTCTGCAGGGAGGATGAGCCTCACCTGGCTGCCTGCTGAGCACCAGCAGGGCTCAGAGCAGGGAGCAGCGAGTGGGGCACATCAGGGGAGGTGTGTGTGGGGTGTTGGCATTCCATAATCACTGTCACAGCCTCTGCTACTCCACCAGGGATAACAGCCATAGGAGCATGAGGCTTATCTTGGTGGGAGGTTGTCACAAGGTAAATATCTCTGCAAAGAGCCTCTTGTTTGATTCCCGTCACCCCAGGAGTGCACCTGGTGGAATTCCCTCCCAATAAACCAGCTGAGTTCCAAGGCAGCTGCAGGGATGTTCCCAAGTGGAATTACCTGCTGGGTGTGCACAAGTCCATCCCTGCTGGTCCTCCTGTGCTGCCTGCTTCCAAATGCTGCTGCTGTCAGCCCCCAGCATTAGTATTCAAGCCAGGGAACAGGAGTGAGGTGCTAGACAGGCCGACTAATTACAGCAGCCTGCAGAGGCGAGTCGGGCTGTGCCACATGATGAAGGATATCCTGCTTACTTGGAACATTGCTGCTCTGCTGTGGCACTTCATTTAAAAAAAATAAGGAAAAAAAAAATAAGGTGTGAGCTAATTGGTTTGGTTAAGGAATTGAGCTGTGCTCTTGTTTTGTTTTGTTGTTGTTTTTTTTTTTTCCCTTGGATTTAATCTGAATTTATACAATGCTTTGTGACACTCGTCTAAAACGAAACTTGCTGTGACCTTAGCAAGCTGCACACCTCCTGTAATCCCAGCTCCCCTGCCTCTGGCTGCCATCCTGACCTGCCTGCTCCTGTCCCCAGAGCTGTCAGCAGATGGGGGAGAGGAGGCTCTCGCTGCCACCGACGTGCCATCTGCAGGCAGCGAGGCTGCTCGGGTTTTTATGAGCCTAAATTGTAATTCTGCATCCAGAGGGTTTTCTGTCAGAGCATCTGTTTTACTGCCATGACACAGATCTGGGGCTGAGCGTGTGCCAGGAGCAGGTGAGGAGGGGGAGAGCCCCATCCTGCAGTGACAGCAGCCATCAGGTGGCTCCTGGCTGGGGCTGCTGCGTGTCCTGTGTGTCCCCTGCGCTGTCACACAGCCCAGGTTTGGGCAGGCTGAGCTTTGGAAAGCTCCACTGCTCACAGGTCAGAGGCAGGAGAACACAAACTGAGGGAATATCTGCCACAAACAGAACTGCTGGTGTTGCCTGATTCTGGCTGATTTACACCCAGGATAGCCTGGGGGTGCCAGCTGAGCCTGTCCCCTGTCCTGTCCCCTCCAGTGCCCTTCTGCAGAGCAGGGTACTAAGCAGATTAGTCAGCTTCTTCCATCAGAAAATACTCCAGGCCTAAGATACTTAAAAGACATCTGGTTTTTAGCCTCATTTCTAACCAAATGAGGCTTATGTGATTATGGTGTCTGTCGCTTGCCCCTCGTTGGCCAATTGTGACCCTCAGCCGGGGATTTTGGTCTCACAGATGTGAACTTCCAGGAAGTTTCTGTGGGCTGGTGTGAACAGAACTCGTCCTGGAGGGAGGGCCACAGCACAAGCTGTGCTCATCTTGGAGTTGATGTGAGAGGGAATGTGCTGGGGGAAAAAAAAAATATCTCTGTTTGCAGGGAAAAGCAGCCATGAGGAGAAAACCCCCGTGGGCTGAGGATGTGTCTGTGCGGCTGAGCTCTGCCTCTGCTCCAGCTGTGCTGGGCAAGCACGGCCATCCACAGTGCCACCTCCTGCTGTCCCCACATGCCAACTGCTCCTGTGATCCCGGGATTGCTTTTCTGATCCCTGGATTAACGGGCTGGGATGTGCAAAGATACAAGAGCTGTGTGTGAGGCAGCTCAGCTTGGCAGGGGGTTGCCCTGGTGAGCTGTGCCCGTGGAGCAGAACTGGCCAGGCCTGGCCTGCCCGGTGGGTCCATGGCCGCTGCACAGTGGCCTTGTCTTCAGAATTGTTCTTACACAGTTATCCTGTCAACTGAGGTCTAAATTCTTCTGGGAGTGATGTCCCTTAGCACTTTGAGAGGGTGTGCAGGTAAACACAGCTCGTGCTGGTTAGTAATTCACTCAGGGACAATGGATGAAGTTGGTGACTGGAACCCTCCATGCACCCGCTTTTGCAGAATCACAGAGTGCTTTGGGTTGGAAGGAGCCTTAAAAATCATCTTGTCCCATGGCAGGGACACCTCCCACTGTCCCAGGTGCTCCAGACCCAGTGTCCAACCTGACGTTGGGCACTGCCAGGGATCCAGGGGCAGCCACAGCTGCTCTGGGCACCCTGTGCCAGGGCTGCCCACCCTCACAGGGAAGGATTTCTTCCTGATTTTTCATCTGAATCAGAATTCTCTCCTTATCTTCTCTGTGAATTTCACTTTAATGCTTGTTAGAGCTGGACCTGTCTCCTTTTTGCAGCTACACAACATTTTTACCTTGTAATTCAGAACCTAAGGATGTCCAATGGAATGTGTAAAACCCACAGAGAGTAGTTCTGGGACTGGGAGGGAAAAGCAAAGGTTTCATGTTCTGCCTCCTAGTAATGAACTAAATGAGATAGTGTCCTTCTTTGAGCATAAATGAAAGATAAAAGACAGATGAGATTTATGAACAAGGTCATTAGTGTACCAAATTTCTCTCATTAGATCTGTTACGTTACTTTCCAACTTACATAACTCTCATTAGAAAAATTTATGAACTGGAATGATTACAAATACACCACATTCTAAACCATCCCTACTTTATATTGCCAAACAGCAAAAAAATAATTATACTTTTGTGCTACAATAGAGCTGTACTTTTGTGCATGTGTTTTTTTGTTAGAATTTAAATAGAGGTTGTTCCTGAAGCCAGGGAATGGGGCAAGAGGAAAATGGACCATTTAGTGCAATTTAGCAGCCAACCTGAAGCATTGCTTTAATTTTATAACTGTGTCAGACCCTGGTTGATATTGCAGGCTAATATTGCTGTTTGTTCTCCTCACCAGACTCCCACTCTCACATCCCTGTGCCTGATTTGAAGTGACAGTGAGTGGAAGCATAAGGTATCTCTCATTCTGTTTGGACTCCTTGTTTACAGAAGAGTGATGGAGATGCTATTAAGCACAAAAGGCATCACCATATGCCTGTTTTTCTTTGTATTGAGTTTGGCAGCAGCTATTGAAATACCATTATCAGGTGAGTTGTAGCTATTTGCTGTGCACTTTGCTGTTTTGTTTGGTATTCCTTTGCAGCTATCCCTGAAGGAAAAATACTAAATCCTCCTTTCCAGTTGTGTTCCATTTGGAATTTAATCTCGCCACAATGTGGCCTTTGGGAAATTCAGGTCTGATCAAAAACTAAGCTGTCCTGTTTGGGCCTGCTTAAATGGAGCAGTAAAGTTGTCTAATAACATTTATTTGGTGTTTGCCATCCAACACAGCGCTTAGCTCCGAGGGTTTGGGTTTGTCCTTCAATTCCTCATTTTGGCTCTGAATCCCCCTGAAGCTTCTTTGATGTGCATAAATCCTTCCTTCCTTGTCGTGCAAGCTGCCATTCCAGCCTGGGGAAGGAGCAGGTGGATGACTCAGGGCCAGTGTTGGTCCCTGGAGGAGGATTTCACACTCCATGCCCTGCCCCAGGGAGCAGCTCCTGCATCCCTCACCGGCTGGGATGAATTCAAACTGCTTGTTTTACATGGATCATGAGCTTCCAGGACATGTGTAAAATATGGGATGAGGCTCACAGGGAACAATCCAGGGAAAGCCAGAGGACCCCTCTGCCTGGAGTACAGCCCAGACCTCCCCAGCTTTGCATTTTTCAGACATAAATAGACCAGGAGGGTTGAAAACTGCATTTTGCTTTGGTGTTTCGGTTGCAAAAAAATAACCCAAACCAACCAAAAAAGCAAAACTCAATAATATTATGAATTGTGATGGGGAAAAATAAACCTAAGAAATAATAAATTTAGGCTGTTTTCAGGGTCTCAGAGTAGGACATGGACCAGTTTCAGGGCATCCTGTGGTTCTGCCATGAGCTCTTAGCACTCTGCAGCCTGCCAATAGCCCTGGCTGCAAAGAAGAAGCCAACCAAGCAGGTTTATAGGATATTTTTGTAAAACTGTCTGAATTTGCATTGGGAAGTAGAGGTTTTTGAGTTTTTTTTAAGGAAGTAACCACAGTGGCTCCTTGTGTTTTAATAAAGCCAAAGTGGAGCTGTGACTGTAAAGCAACAGGACAAACTCTCTGGGCATCCACTGCTTTTATGAACCTACCCCAGGGAACCACCTAACCCTTAATTAGCTGTAATGAAGCATTTTATATTATAATAAAAAGTTATTTCTGATCAGTGGAGCTGGTGGGCTTGGAAGTGTTCAGCTTTGAGACCATGTTATATCAAGACACCGCGTTTCACTCCAGCTTTCAGCTCGCTGTGCTTAAAGCAGCACATAAAGAGCATTTTAATTCTCTTCCTGCCTGTTTATAACAATGGGGTTATCCTATTATCCCAGCTCCACTGCAGGGAACATTCTCCTTCCTCTGTTACACAGGCTTTTGCAACACTTTAATTCCCTCAGAAAAAATACAGAAGTTCGTGCAGCCTCGGTGCGTGACCATGCAGCTGCACCCTGGGGCAGATATTAAACCAGCCTTGCAGGCCATGGCTTTTCTGGCAGTTTTATCCAGGATGGAGGCAGCAGTTTGCTACTTCATGTGTGTGCATCTGTGTCTGGGTTAAATCCAGTTTGTTACTTCACCTATGAATAAATTTGCCAGGCCACAGCGCCGTGCTTTGGCTCTGGCGTGGTCCCAGCTCCCCTCTACCCCGGGTGGGTTTGGAGGGGAATCAGGGTGGGCTCTGTCCCTCTGCCAGGCCTTTCTTTGGCCATGAAGGCAGTGACAGTGACCAGAGGGTAATGTCCATGCCAGGGAGGTGATGATCATCCTTTTCCCAAGGCAAGGCTCACTTTCTGCAGGAATAATGCAATCCTGCCATTGTCCCTCTCCACTCAAGGGGAGCCCAGTTGGGCTGGAACGCTGTTTTAACCCCATTCCTCTTTGTGTTCAGTTTCCCAGCTTCCAACAATCACAGAGCAATCCCACACCCAGGTTGCCTACCCCTTTGATGAGGACTTCACCATTAAATGTGAAGCCAGAGGAAACCCGCAGCCCACGTGAGTACTGCTTGGAGAAGCAAGCAGAAGCTGAGTTTGCTTTTAACCTTTGCCAAACATTGTTTTGTCTGTCAGGAGCTGCTGCACAAAAACCTGCTCATCATCCTCAGCAGGGTTAAGGTTCATTTTTTTCATTCAGGCCACTCAGCTTTTGTTGCTCCATCACTTCCCCTCACCCTGTGAATAGGTATCAACACGGTTTTCCTTGCTGGGGGATGTTTCATTTCTCTGGCACGTGCCAAATTCACCCCCTGGTTTTAAAAAAATCTTGTCTGGGTTGTGCTGCAAAAGATGGGCTGTGTCATGGTAATCAGAGGGGCCCAGCTGTTCCTCTGCCTCTTCCACAGCAACCCTAAAAATCCCAAACACATAAACTGTGTATTCAAACACCAATTTGCATTTTATCAGATACCTTGTCTGTACCTAACATAAGCAGGGCCATGGTGATGGTATAGATAGACACAGAAGGAGTTATTCAAATAAATATCCAAAGATGAACTCTGTGCATTTTACACCAGTGTGGAAAAGAGAAAGATTTTTTAATGAAAATGTGATTAGCAAGAGTGTAATAATAACACAGTAAAAACTCCTCCTGAGCTTTCCCCACTGAATGGTGTTTGGGCTAAATTAATAACTGGTTTGAATAATTTTTTCTCTTTAATCCTTTGCTTCTTCTTTCTTTGCAATACAATTTAAACTTTAAAAGGCATTCTTTTATTTAGATCAAGATGATTTGGTAATTTTTAATTCAGCTCTGAATGGGGATTTGCAGCATGATAACAAATTCCCTTTGTTCCGCTGTTTGTCAGTGCATCAGTGAAAAGTTTCCTGGTACCCTTTTTTTTTTTTTTTTTTTTTGGTCACTGCGTCAGTGAAAAGTTTCCTGGTGTATTTAAATGATGTGGTAGTGCCTGTTAGGAGAGGGGATCCCATATGCCCTCCATCCTGGAGAAAGGATCCCATATTCCCTCCATCCTGGAGCAAGGATCCCATAATCCTTCCATCCTGGACCAAGGCAGTTTTACCAAGAACATTGAAGTGCCAAAACAATTTTGTTTTGTTGTTAATTATTTATTCTCTTAAAACCAAAAAAGAAAGGTACATCTGCCACTAAACTGATGTTTCTGCAATTTCCAGCTGTCTGATTTTGAATCAGTTTAGGCAAATTTCAATCCACGGAGAATTGCAAGTACAGGAAGAGCATTTATCAAAATCCCCCCCCAGCAGCATCACAGCTACAAATGGATCTATGGCAAGGAGAACCTCAATGGAATCACCTCAGGCTCTCCTGGGGCCAGCCCTCTGTAACTTTTCTTTTCTTTTTCAGCTTTAACTGGACTAAGGATGGAAAACCATTTGATTTATCATCTGACCCCAGGATAGTCACATCTAACAACTCTGGAACTTTTGTGATCCAAAACCGGGGAATCATCAACAATTTCCAAGGGAAATATCGCTGCTTTGCATCCAACGTGCTGGGAACTGCCATGTCAGAGGAAATTGAGCTGATTGTTCCAAGTAAGGGCTTTATTTTTGGTTTGAATTTGTAATTATTACTTTTATTATGAAGATGAGAGATGTCTTTCCTCAAAATAAATGGGAAAGAACTGCTCACTAAGGTGGCACAAGGCAAAACATGACTTGTTTGTTATTCAGTGAACATTCAAAGAAAAAAATGGTATTTTCTTATTTGAATAATTTAATTTAATTCCTGGTTTTGAGGACAGAAAACCAAATCTGGATGCAGGATTTCAGACCACTGAACTATCAACTCCCACAGGTTATTACTGCAAAATAGCAACGGATGCAAATGTTTGAAAACTCCAGGGGAAGTGATTTGATCAGCTGAGTTCATTAATCTGATGTCAGCAGCATTCAGGGTTTGGGATAAATACTGATGGGGAGAAGAAAAAAGCCCTGGAGCGGAATGGAAAACAAGCTTAAAAATAAAACAGGGAAAATTACTGATCCTAGAAATTTGTGCTTCTGCTGTTAGCATGGAGGAAGGGCAGAGAAGAAAATGAGGGATTAAGGACCAGGTTTGTAGAAGTGGAATGAAATTTATAGATAGAATCAAAGAATTATTAAGGTTGGCAAACAGCTCTTAAAATCAGAATCCAACCCTTAACCCAGCCCAGCCAGGTTCAGCATCCAACTGCGTCCCAAAGCTGAAACAGCTGGTTTGCACCAATCCATTTAATCACCTGTAGCTTGGAATATGAGCACGCATTTTGGTTCGAAATTCAGGATTTAAACAGATGAAATTAGAAGAGGAAAAGCAGAAGCAGAATCTTCCCAGAGGGAGTAGAAAGGACAAGAAACTCCCCCAGCTTCAGGATGGAACTGGGTGAGAACATGAAGCAGGTCTTACAATGCAGTTCAGTGGCAGAGATGGAGAAAAGCAGCAGTGCAGTGGATTTTTTTCAGATGAGATCCTGCATTTCCAAGCTCCTGCAGTATTTTGTTCTCAGCTATCTGACAGCTCCATGCTCAGGTGGAGTCCATGTGGCAGGGGATGCATCCACAGCCTCCTCAGCCCCACAGTGACAGGAGGTGGCTGCTTTTGTACAAAAACCGCTTTTGACAGATCAGTGCAGATGAAATGGGCTATGAGAAACATGAATAAACATTTTTGTCCTGTCTTCAGCATATGAAATAATCCTGAGAAGCATTCCAGGCATAGCCAGGGCTGGGAGAGTCGTGGTGCTGTGGGCACATTGAAACCAAGACATTGCAAGGGCTGAGAGGGTTCCTGGGAGGGAGCTCCTGAGGATGCCATGTAAATGTATTTTATGAGTGCTCCTCATGAAAAACACATTTTATTTTCCTTCCATCCAGCTTTATGGATTTCTTTTTCCTTGGGAAATCTATTTTATGTTGCAATGTGCCACAGTAATCCCTGATGCCAGAGCTTGGTGTTGGGTGAGGAGTTAGCAGGATTCAGGTGTTGCTCTGTGGTTTAGTCTCCACCACCTTGCAGCTGTTTTAGGGAAGAGCTTTCCAGAGCGGAGGAGAGTTGCAGGAAGCTTTAGGACAGTGAGTTGAGGTTTATTGAACTGTTGAGGTTTATTGAACTGTTGACAGGGTAGGATGGGCAGCTGATGGCAGCTGGAGTTCCAGGCAGAGACAGGAGAGTGATGCAGTTAAACTTCAGACAAAGCTTTTCACTTTGGAGTCTGGCCAGGGCAGTGGGGTTAATACAACTTCTCTTAAGCAAAATATCTCAAACTTATTACATTTGAGGGGAGTTAAAGTGCTCAGTGTCATGTTTGTACCTCCAGCAGCAGGATATTCTGATGTTCCATTGCTACTGAACTAAAAAAGATGGAAAACAAGGAGTTGATGTCTGTATTTGGGATTATTGAATCTGTATTCAGAGAGGAGATTTTTTTTTGCTTTTAATGAAGAACAGTCTAGAGTAGCTTAAGTCGATATTAAATATATTGGGAGTGGATGGCAACAAATGTATGGAGAGGTTATAAACATGGTCGTTATCAAAAGCAAGAGGAATTTGAGTGCTAATATATGCAAATTCCTAAACCCAGCAAAAAAATACGTAGTACAGATAATATATTAGAGGGATTTACCCAACTCACACATCTTTTGAAGCACATTAGAACTCTTCTGCCATCAGGTCTCTCATTTACTGGTGCAATGTAAAAGCTGCAAATGAAATCAGGATTCAGAGAGGAGTAGAAGGCACCTTTGATTTTCTAAAGTGCTCTACAACTGTGCCCCAGTGAAAGAGCTGCTGGTGCACAGATCTGCTGTAAATCAGAACCTGCCAGGGAGGGGCTGGGGATAAATCACCTCTATTCACCCCCAGGTTTTGGAGCACAGACTGGTACATGTGAGATCACTCCCTGCATTCATGATAATAATGCAGAGGTGGCAGAGCTGTGCCAGCTGTATTCAAGTCAGATGTAAAGCTCCTTGGCAGAGTCACCGTGCCAGGGGAGGGAAGAAAACCCCAGCCAGGCAGAGCAGGGCAGTTTCTTTCATAAATTACATTTCCACTGCAGAAGCAGAATACTGGGTCTGTAAGGCTGCTGCTGAAAAGGAGAACAAAAGAGTGTTTACTCACAGTAGTCATTCCAGGGAAGCAATAGAAATGTCAGCAGAAATGATCATTAAATCTCACCTACATAATGAAAATACCCCACCTCCCCTATGTAGGATGACATTAAGGAGAGGGGGAAGAATGGGCTCTGAGGATCTCGATGTGTTTGCAGCACTAACAAAGGCCAGATTGTTACAAGATACATTCAGCATGAAAATGAATTTAAATGGTGAGAACACAGACTTCAGCTCCCCTCCTCCAGCATTTCGGGAATCTGCTGCTTGAATTAGTGAGCAGGCCCAATGCCAGAGGAAGGAGAAGAAGTACAGTTTAAACTTCTTTAATTAACTGTGCTGTAAAAGACTCTTCACGGCAGACTGAGTCAAAATTTATGCTTGGTATTTCTAAAGCTGCTGCTCCAAAAGACCAGAGACCTGAGGATGGAAATATTGGCTGAATGTAAAATTATCCCGTGGCAGGCTGTGCTCTGATGTGATGTTAGTGCAAGAATTCCCAAAGAAACCAGACCTGAGTTAATATTCACTCAGGTGTGAATATCCTGAAATCAGTACAAGATACTGAGCTGATACTGAAGGAGGAGGTTTCAGTTTTGTGAGGGCTTTGGTGTAGCTTTTATGGAAGAGAAAACAAAAGAGAGAAATTCACTGAGACTTTGCAGGTGATGGGGATAAAATTTAACCCTCTTGCCTCCTAAGCCAGTGATCTTCCCCTGTGGCCACCTAAATCATTAGGCTGGCTCTGATTCTTGCCTGTGGCCATCATTTTGGAAAAGATAACAGAGATTTACACAGAAAAAAGCTGTCACTGATTCCATTCCACACCTTCAGGAGCAAGTGGACTCCCAGCCACGCTCTTCCTGACAGCCAGGCTTTGCTAACTTTTTCAATTTAAGGCAGCAATTAAAAAATCCATAAACAAGCAGGGTCGTATCTCATAAACAGTTCAAAGGCTGCAATGGAAATTACAGATTTAACTACTGCTCCTGCTCCATGGATCAGAATATCAATTGAGGCACGGAGATGAGCCCTGGAAACTTCCCAAGCTTCACTCAGTGCAGCTCAACATCAGGGACTTCAAGTCATGGTTCAGATTCTTTAAAATGTTGAGCTGTTTGCTGTACAAGATACAGATCTGTACGAAAAATCATAATTAGATACTAATTTAACTGTCTAAGGAGCTGGAAATTTCGAGGTTATAGAAAGTTCTTGACTATTTCTGCTTTGCCTCACTTTTACATTCTTTAAGGGTTTATTTGCAAGGAAAAATATGAGACTATCCATGATGGATCAGGCTAAATTCTCCTTTATCCCAGGATATCTTCAGTGGAATCTACAGAGAAGGTTATAAAACCAGACCTGAGTTACAGTGATGCTTTTCTACAATAATTTCACAATGTACTTGCTAATTGCTGATTTATCATCCTGAATTCACTCCCATTTTACACCTGATATTGGTAGAAACAAGACACAGGGATCTCAAGGACAAGTTACCTGGAGAAATGCTTTTCCTTTGCTCCATTTCTCAACACTTGACCCCAAAACATGTAAAATACCTGGTGGAATGGGCTCCATTCTCACATAAACTAGAATAAATTGCCATAATTGATACAGTTTTGGTGTGAAGTCACTGCCATCAGCAGTAGGACAAAAACTGAGCTGTAGGACAAAAACTGAGCTGTAGGACAAGGTGTCCTAAATGGATCCCTGGGTAAATCTGGAGCAACGTTGGGGACTGGAGTTCCCAGCTCTGCTTGATGTATTTCTGAATCTCTATTTCTGCTAAACTCAAATTTAGCCTTTCTATTGCATTGTACTGGTCTCTCTCCTGTTTGCTTTAGGTTGAGAAACTGCATTTTCTGAAGGGATAAGGAGAGACTCTGGCTCCTTTCTGGATTTTTTCCCAGCTCCCCCAAATTTGGTGCTTCAGCCTGGTCTCAAGCACAGCTCAGTCACTGAACTTTGAGTCACCCCAGGGATTAAACAGACCCTGGCTCCTTGCACAAATGACTGTGGCCACTGATAATCTTCTGTTTCCATGGTTCACACACTGTCAGAGCACTTCAGTTCTGGTTTTTGAGTGCAGCCTTGTCAGGAAAAAACCCTTGGTCAGCAAAGCCTTTCCCAGGAGTATTTGAAGAGGTATCACGGTGGGATTTTGGGACATTCTCCATAGCTGGAGTTGGGAGTGCAGGTTTCCATCTTCTCCGTGGCTGTTCCACTCACATCCCATGATTTGTGTGTGGTGAGAGCCCTCCTGGGGCTTTTTCAGAATCACTAAATCCCTCTGCTCTCCCCTGTGCTGTGGGGATGTGGGAAGCAGCACCCAGAGCTGTGCTGGATCCTCTGTCCCCTCTCATCACATCCCTGGGTGGGGATTCCATGGAATATTGATGGAGCAGTGGCAGTGCTGTCACTGCAGAGCCATCAGCTGGATTTTTCAGTGGCCATGTGCCGCACTGAGAACTCTGTACAATACCAAACCCTTCCATAGCACAATTTATTTTGTGTTTATTTTGTGGTTTTTATGCTGTGGAGTTAAACTCAGCTATGATACTTTCTGTGATTGGCCACAAATCCTGGAATATCCTCTAATTAGAACATAGGAGCCCTCCAAAAATATCCAAAATATTGCCTGCATAGACATCCTGAAGATTGATGAGCAAAAGGCAAAGTCTAATGTGACAGAAGCTTTTTATTTTGAATAAATCTGAATTCAGATGCAGGTATATTTTTCTAGACTTTGAGACCAGTGGGACCCCAGCAAAAAAATTATGTTTGTCAGAGGGTTTGGGTCAGGAATTTGTCATGAGTTTTCATTTCTTGCAAAGCTTCAAGGAGTAAACATTGAAATTTATCATTATGAGGATGAAAATCGAAGTTTTTCAATGCTTTTCATGGCGAACTAAGCAAAAAAAACCCCCAACCAAACAAAAAAAAACCCAAAAAAAACCAGCATGGAAGGATCTGTGGTGCAAGTTGGAGGTGGAGGACATTTGGGGTCAAATTGCTGCTTCCCCCAGTGAAGTCCAGCTGCCAACATCTGGGCCCCACACTGGAGATGAATTGCTGTGCTGCCAGCTAATGACACCAGGACTGTGACTTGTCACTGTCTCCTGGTGGGACTCACTAAATTTCTGTATAATTCTGTAATTACTGGCCACAGAAATTCACTGAGAAGCCCAGTGGTTATGGCACTCAGCTGGGATATCAGAAACCCAAATTTAGTTCTGCTAAATGAGGCAAAAAATGAGTTTGAACAAGGGGTTCCAGTGTCCTAAATAAGTGATCCCATATTAGTCCATTTGCTGATCTCATTGGTTTGGTCAGAAATCCCTTTATCCTTCTCTGATCCAGCTTATTTCAAGTTTTGTTGGGAGTGACGTGCTTTGGGGAATAAATAAGCTTTAGATCAAAAAATTGGCTTTTTCCTGCTGGAAAATATTCCACGTCTGCAGTCAGCAGATGTATTTCCCAGGGCTTGAAGAGTGCAGGTTACTGAAGGTACTGGATATGAATATGCAGCTCTTTTTTTTTCACCTGAAATTTCACCTACAGAGTGGGTGATGCTCATTAGCTGCATTTTGCCTCTCCTAAGAATTCCTAACCTATTAATAATCCTCCTGGAGATAAAATCTCTGCAGAGCCTGCATTCAGGCAGTCAGCGCTGGAGTGATTGCTTCTTTTCATGTTTACTAATCCTGAGATGTGTGAAGTGTCCTCAGAGTCCTGTCCCTGCCTTTCTCCCCCTCTCCCTTCCTCTGCCTCCTGCACTGGGATGTTGCAGGTTCCCTGCTGGACCACTGATGTGTCAAGATGTGGAGCTGCTCTCAGAGCTCCTTATTGTGACAGGGAGGTGATGCTGGCTGTGCCACTTTGACTGCACAGCCAGGACCTTCTCCATCCTTTGCTGTTTCATTTAATTTAATTAAGCTGCTCATTTTGCTGGTTGATGCTGGTCTGAAGTGAAACTTTGGCCAGTTTGAACTTGCCTGAAATGAAAGCAGGAGGCGATGTCAGCCCTGAAACTGCCTTAGCTCAGTTCCTTCAAGGGGTGGTTCCATCTTGCAGGCTGCTTTCTCTGGGATCATCTCCAAGCTGAGCCTCCTTTGGTCTGGGGTGGGCTCCAGCCCAGTTCTGCCTCCCGTTTTCCACATCAGCTCCAGAGGCATTTTGGGCATCCAAATTTGTCCAGGTGTGCCAGGCTTTGAAAAAAATGCTGGCATCAGGTGCTGTGGGTGGTGAAACATTGATCCATGAACCATTTAACCTGTGTTTAAACCCAGCTAGAGCAGCCCTGGTACAGCCCTGTGAGTTTTGTGCCAAGCCTATCCCTGCACCCCTGCAGGAATCCAGGCTGAGCTTCGGGGTCTGAGGAGGCTTCACACCAGCCTTCCTCTGATCCTGGAGATGGAGGAGAGCTGGGACAGCTCCAGGCACGAGCCTGGTGTCTGTCCTCACCTGAGGGACTGGTAGTGGGTCCTTAGGAACCATGTTTTATCCAAGGCTTCCCAGAATGTTCCACACTCCCAGGCTGGTTTCTGATCTCCTGGTGATGCCTTGTGCAGGCTGCCCTAGAGCAGAGGCTGGGCAGAGTTCCAGAATAAAGCAGGGATTTATTCAAAGGATCCCCTCCATGGATCCACCTTGGGCAGCACAAGAGCCCAGCCAGGGCTGCACCCAAGATGAACCCAAATGGTCCCAAAATGCACGAGCGCTCACGGGGTCTCTCCCTGGGATCAGCTCTGCTCCATGTGCACATTGCAGTTCAGTGTCAAATTCCAGCTCAGCCCCTGCACTCCCATCCTGCTTGTTTTTCTCTCTGCAGCCCACGGGGTTTGTGCTCTTGGGCTGAGATTTGGATCATTTGTCCTTGGTGCCCAGCTGGAGCAGGAATTATTTTGTCTCCCTGCTCTGTGCAGAGAGCTCACCATGCCCTGATGTGAAGCTCAGACCTGCACACTAAAGCAGCACAGAATGTGAAAAATAGAAAAAGCTAAACCTGAGGCATCACTGGGACCAGCTGGGGCCCCACCAGTGCACAGCCCTTCTTGCCAGGCTTGTCCTTAGGGACCCTTTGGCCTTGAGTGGTCCCTTCCAGACAGCACAAAGGAGCTAAAGAAAGTGTTTGAAAAGAATTGTGTTAAAGTAAAGCCAGAGAAAAGCACAGGACATCACAAACAAGTGTTAAACATCCCCATTCAGTGCCTGGCTTTGGATAGGATGCTCCAAGAACTTTGTGAATGAAAAGATTCCTATTGTGAGTGTCCCAGAATGCAGGGATTTCCTACTCTGAGTAAAACTCATCGTTGCTCTGTGCCTCCATGTAAATTAAAATCAGTATTGAAGGTAGAGAATGCAAAGGATGATGTAAAGGTAAATATTTTATTAAAACTGTGTAAAGGGGAAAGCAAAAGGCAAAATTTCAAAAGGTACCAATAACAGAGGAACTTCTTTGCTTTTTTGTACAGGTGTACCAAAATTCCCCAAAGAAAAAATTGAGCCTCTGGATGTGGAGCATGGAGATTCTGTGATCCTGCACTGCAATCCCCCAAAAGGCATCCCCCCTTTGCATATCTACTGGATGAATATTGGTGAGTAAATGCACAATTCATACAAGGGTCCTCAAAGCATTTGTCTTGCAGAGCAGCTTCATTGCAGATTCGTCATGGGCAGGAATTGTAATTGTGCAAGTGCTTGGGAAAAATATCTGGATACTGAAGAACAAAATTAAAAAATGGAGGGTGGAGATCTGGTTTGACATGACCCAAAGTTAAATTGTTGAGTGCATTGGCACAGCATCTCATTAAATATGAGATTTAATATTATAACTTCTAAACTCTTAGTTACTCCAGACAACCACACCCCTGCATTATAAACCCTTCACCATCTTGTCAGTGCAGTTTATCACTTAAGGGATATTCTCACCTACATCTATAGAAACGTAAGTTTATGATTTTTCTGCTTAATGTCTGCGTATTGTATTTTTACATCAATCCAAGCTTCTCTCAAGGCTGCAGATCAAACCCTTCAGTACCTTTGGAAGTTTCTGGTTTTCCACTTCAGTGTCTGTGGAAGTTTCTGGTTTTCCGATTCCCACACCACCTCACAATTACTTTTCCTTGCCAGATTTGCAGCACATCCCCCAGGATGAAAGGGTCTCCATGAGCCTGAAGGGAGATCTCTACTTTGCCAACGTGGAGGAGAGCGACAGCAGGAGTGACTACTGCTGCTTTGCAGCCTTCCCCAGGCTCAGGACCATCGTGCAGAAGATGCCGATGACGCTCAAGGTTTCCCGCTGTGAGTGTGGGGTTGAGCTCTTTCTTTGCTGCTTGTTTCTGAGCTCCCCAGGCAGCAGTGCATGCAGATGTGTGGCTCTCTCAACACAGGGCACCTTGCTGAGTTTATTTCCTGCATTGTTAACCTTGTTCTTGGGGCTAAATTTCACTGAGGAAAGCTTCTTGCTCTAGCCTGTGTTCTTGCTGACCCTCCCAAGACATCAGTTTCTCCTGTCCCATCTGGGTCACCAAGAACTAATGCCTTGGGATGGCTGCCTAGAACAGGGGCTAGTCAAAATTAAGAGAGTAAAATGGGTATTTATGGAAGGTCTTTGATAGGCACACCTTGGGCAGCCAAAAGCTTCCCAGAGAGTACACCCAAGATGGACAATGGTCATGAGTTTTGCAGACAATTATAAATTTGGTCCATTTACCTATCAAGGGTAATCCTCCAATTACAGCTTCAGGTAATGAAGTAATTTTCTCCAAGCCCCCCAAATTCACTGTTTACATTTCTCAGGGCCTGAGGCAGTGAGGTGTCCTTGATTGCCAGGCCTGGAGAGGAATTGTTGTGTCTGCCCAAAATGTGAAGACAGGATCTGACACTCTATATGGAGTTCAGAGTTATACACTAAAGCAGTACAGGGTTTGAGAAGTTCAAAAGCTAAAATCCTAAGGCATCACTGTCAGACCCCAATAGTGCCCTGTTCTTCCTCCTGCTGTCCCCACAGTGAAAACCAAGGATGCTTTAGGGAAATCTGCTGCTCTTGAGTCCAGCAGGTCCCCAGGAATGGGACTTCACTGGGTTTTGAGGACTTCCCTGGGCAGAACCTGGTTTGATCCAGCCTCAGCAGTGAGGTTGGAAGAATGATATTTTCCAGGTTTTTCCAGGCAGCCTGGAGCATCAAAAACACAAAAAGGTGTTTCCAGTTCCTTGATGAAATGATGTGTAGGGAATTTAAGATTTTAGTTGTTCATTGAAACCTCTGATCTTTCAGACCTACACAGCCCAGAAAGCCAATGAGAATTTTGTCTTCATGAATGAAACCCTCGTGTTTAATATGTGATTTTTGAGAGTTTTCTTGTTGGGATAAAAAGATAAAGGATTAATAGTGGCTTTTTGTGTTTAATGCTTGCTTAGACTGTCTCTTGGGATAATAATTGTGAGAAAAACATCAAGTTAAATGTTGCTCTCCATGGCTTTTCAGTTGGGTTCAGTCCCCCACACATGCACACAGAGATTAGAGAAAAACAAGATAGGTTTTGGCTGTTGGTAGCCCTGGAAGTGGCCCAAAAACCCACTTCAGTGTGTCCATCTTGTCATCAAAGCCACAGGACTTGGGCCAGGAAAAGATGAGAGGCATGAACTGAAAGGGTTCTGTAAACTCAGCTTGACATTGCCCACTCCACCCTGTGCCAAGTGCCTGGTGAGGGACTGCATTAAAAAGAAATAGAACAAAAATAAGCAATAAGAAACAAGAGAATGGGTGCATTTTATAACATTTCTCTTTGTGGATAGTTAGTGATTTTTATTACTGTAGATAGCAAGGATGAAATGCTGATTATATCACCCATGAAGTATTAATACAGAATAACACAAAAGCATTTTCATTGTATTTTCAAAACTCAGTTGCTCATCTGTTGCTTTCTTTTATATTTTTCATTCTTTCTTTCTTTTGGGGCAGAAATTGGGGGGTGGGGTGGGGCATGGTTTTATTTTGGTTGATTTATGGTTTCTTTTGATTCTGTCTCAACCCTGCATGTTTGTTTGGTTGTCATTTTTATTTATTTCAGTAAAGCATGCTAATGACTCAGGCTCACCTAACGCTGCTGTTACTAAGGGTGAGTTGAACATACCTGTTTTTAGCCTTTGAACTGAGACTCCACCAGCTGAGGTGAAATGGGAGCTGCTCAAAAACACAACACAAAAGTCTCTTGATTGTAATGGGGTGGATTTAAGCAGTCCAGGGAGCACAGTTGGCTCATCTTGTAGTTTCTGAGAGCAATCTGCAGGGCTTTTAATGAAAAAGGCAGGTTTATTTTTTCACTTGAGAAAGGAGCTTTGTAAGGGGGTGGAAGTGAGGACATTGATGTTCAGGGTTTCTCATGTTATCAGTTCAGAGCAGGAGCCAGAGCTGGATGCTCCAAATCTTTTTCTGGTGGTTAAGAGAACTCTGGGATGAGACAGCCGAGGTTTGACACGGTGAATTCATGTCCCAAGGGTCACCCTGGGGCTGCGTTGCTCCAGGATGAGCTCAGGGTGTGGATTTATGGAGTTTGGGTGCCCTGTGTCACCTCCATCTGCGTGGGAGGTGGCTCTGTCTCTGTGGTGCCCTGTGTGTCACCAGCATAGGTGACACCACAGCAAAGCCCTTCTCATCCTGTGCATTCCCATCTCCCACTGCTTTGCCTGCCCCTCTCTGTGGAGCAGATCCTGGAAATACCCTGCAGGCAGCAGGTGCCTATTCCTGCAATTGTCCTCCTGCTTCCTTTTAAATTTAGACTCTGTAGCTCTTGACTCTTCATTTCTTTGCTTAAAGGCCTTTTAAGAGTCTTTTTTTTTTTTTTTTTTTTTTTTTTTTTTGTCTAGTTTTAACCTCCTCTAGGAGTTTTTTTGCCAGACAAGTATTGAGGTTTCTGAAAAGGAGGTTATCCTGGAGTGTTTTGTGATGGATAACTCAGAGCACTCATCACTCCCCTGACTTTGCCCATGGAGCTGAGCCCTGGGAGCAGCACAGGCAGGGTTTTGCACTGTGGCTGCCCATCCAGAAGCAGTTTTTCCCTCCAAGAGATGTCTGAACTCGTGCTGGGAAGGGGTCTGGCTGCCTTTGGCAGCAGGAGGTGAAGGGCGGATGGGAAATGTGTGAGTGTGTCCAGAGGCACCAATGTGTCCTGCTGCACTCAGAGCAGGACTGCACTTGTGACACAGATCTGCAGAGATACAAAGCAAGGGGAAATTAAAATTAAAAACGAGAAAATGGTTCAGGGAGATCTATGTAGTCTTTTACCAAATCATCCATAACTGGCTATTTTTTTAAGAACTAGCACCATTTGGGGACTGATTCATTAGTGTGCTAATTGTTATGATAGTGATAACTGGGCAGCCACTGAACCCTGCATTTTTCATCCCAAAACCCTTGTTTGGCAGGCTGGAACAAATGGGCTGTTGGAATCAAATGCAGGTCAATCTTGTTTTATTATTTTTACAGTCCTCCTTACAAATTGTAACTCCATTACTGTAGATTTAATAATTGGAGCAGGAGGAATAATTCTGTGGCATGCTCAAGTCAGGAAAGGTGGGGTTTCACCTGAGGTTTAAAAGATGATGGATCCAGTGCAGAAGAAAAGTGCTAAGAAAGGAGGTGTGGGCCTAAAGATCAGGAATTGAGAAGATCAGACTGCCTGAGGAAGGGCCAGTGCTTGGAAAACTGGATACAAAACTATAGGAGAAGAGTTTTCCCAGCACTGCTGCCTGTTGATATCACTGTACCTCCCTTCTGGCTGTTATCAGGGCTCCTGGATTAGTCTCAGAGTAGATAAATAAAAAAGAAAGCACACAAATGGCTGTCAGAAACCTTCTGGCAGCAGTGATCTTTGTGGCATTATTGAAGAATATCTGAGATTTTGCACCTAACTTCTGTTTTGTTTTATCTTTCAGCAAATTTTATCAAGGAAAGGAAGCCCAAACTGCTGATCCCTCCTGAATCTGCTGGCAGTAGCTCATCAGTCACTGTCATCAAGGGAGGTGTCCTGCTCCTCGAGTGTATTGCTGAAGGGCTGTGAGTAATGGAAATGCTGCACAAACTTAATCACCTTTGGAGGGAGAAATGAGCAAAGAAAAAGGGATATTACAAATTATGCAACGGTTTTAAATGCAACTCCTGTGCAGAGCTTTCTGTACCTGTAAAACAGCACGGAGTGCAGGCATCAGTAGTGTGTTAGTTATTGCTGTAGCTTGTAAACAAGTAATTAAAACCATGGTGTGGTAAGTATGGATTTTTTTTTTTTAATTTTATTTTTCTATTTTAAAAACTGAATTTTTTTCAGTAGTGCTATTTTTGAGATGTCGAGAAACAAAATAATATCAGCATCAGCTTCAGTGCTTTTGTTCACAACCTGTAATGGATTTTTTTCTGGTTTTGCCAGTTCAGTTTTGCTTCAGTGCTCAAAATTTAAGATTTTCCAGGTGTAAGGTCTCAGTTTTTTAAAACAAAGTTCTTGAGTGATGTTATACAAGACAAACTTTAAGGAATGGTTGGGCCACTGAGGGAAAAACATCAATCTCAGTTACAGCAGGAGGGGCTGGCTCAGGTGTGAATGTGACCCTGGCTGTTTTCTGTGTGCATTCCCCAGCACCCAGAATTTCCACAAGGGATGTTCATTCCTTGGTGTCCTCACAAATGACAGGATATTGAGGAACAAATCCATGGCTATGTAGGAGTACAGTGAACCAGTATCAGCTGTATTAGTTTGATCCTGATCAGTCCAACAGCAAAGAGCAAACCTCTAAACCTTGGACAGTTCCAGGGATCCAGGGGCAGCCACAGCTGCTCTGGGCACCCTGTGCCAGGGCCTCCTCACCCTCACAGGGAAGAGTTTTTTTCCTAAAAAACCTTCTAAATCCCCTCTAAACCTTCTCTCAGTTTGAAGCCATTCCCCCTTGTCCTGTCACTCCAAGCTCTTTTAAATAATCTCTCTCCACCTTGCTGACTCCCTCCAGGCTGTGAAAGGATTAATACCAGGGAAGAGTTAAAATAGTTGCTTTATGATGGGAAGTCATAAAGGACAATTTTTGTGGGAAATTAATTTGTAGAGAAGTCTTAAAGCTTGACAAAAAGTTCATCTACTATGTATTTGTGTCCAAATTTTGAGATAAGAAATGCTGATTTAAAAATATTATAGAATAATACAGATGTTGAGAGAGAAGTGGAGCTAGAAGGTGATTTTGTATAAAAGACAAAATAATTTTGAGAAACACAACTATGAAAGATGTAGTAGGACCTACGAAGGGTAGTTTTAGATGATTAGCTTTAAAACATTTATAACATAATGTGCTGAAAACAAGCTAAGAAACACTTATAATGTATTACTTAATCTGACAAATTTTGTCCTTGTAAATAACACAGGACAAAATGAGGGTAAGTAAGGAAAGGGACTGGGAAATAAATGTTGAGTTCCACCTTGACAGGGAGCTGGGATTCCCTTCTCAGGGCTGTTGCTGCTGCTCCAGCTCACTCAGCCACTCGCCCTGCTGTGCTCTTCCAGGGTCCCAGTTTGTCCCCCGTGCCTGTCACTGCAAAAGTCGAGCTGCCACCAGAGAAACACAGAATCTGTGCACCCACTAAATCCCCAAGGAAAGCAGAGCCCCCTCTGGTTTGGCTGGGACAGAGCTTTGTGTAGAGCAGAGCTTTAAATCACCGACCCCTCGTGCTGGACGTGGAGCTGCAGGCTCTGCTTCCCACCAAGATAATTCCCATTAAAGTCTCTGCGATTATATTCCCTCCATAAAATTCCAAAGTCAGGATATTTATCTGTCTGCACATGTTTAGGGCACTTTGTTTTTCCATATGGGCTTGAAAGGGCATTGCTGGTGGAAGCTGGCAAGGAGTTGAGTTGGCATTCCTGAAAGGAGGTGAATTACTTGTCTCTGTTGGATTCACTCCAGGTATCTGCAGTGAGTTTTGCTTCCCTGTTGCAACATTTCCTTGTCTAATTCACTCCCCATGAAGTGAATCTGCCAGCCAACAAACCTCCCCAAAGCCACAACTCTGATTTTAGAGAGTTTTCAAGGGGTTTTAATAAGGAAATCACATTGGGAATACTCAAATATGAATTTTGATGTGCAAGCATGAATATCAGATACAGGAAGAGAAAGCCAGAAAAGTATTTCTGTCCCTTTGGAAAAAGGTAAAAGGAAAGAATATTTTTGTTTTACTCTAAATTTTCCAGGAAATTCTTAAGAAAATGAATCTTTTTAACCAAGAGATTTTTTTTAAGCAGTCACTTTTGAAAGAACACAAAGTACTTCTTTGTCTTATCACCAAGCACACCTTTTCATTGAAATCCTTCAAAAAAATGCAATTTTAAGAATAAAATGTTATTTTTCTTTGCTAAAATTCCCATTTTCAGCAGAAAAACGATCAGCTTTGCCTACATCTCTGCCAATCCATCCTGCCAAATGTCCACCAACCATGGAAGTGGATTTCAAGGAACTCAGATCAGGGGCAGCCGACTGCAAAACAGGGAATTAGGGACATTTCCAACCTGTCATTTTTTAAAGATTTATACCCTGAGCAGTGGCAGTGTCGGGAGGGCACGGCCTCGGAGCTGGCTTTGGGACAAGAGTGGGATGAGGGCTCTGGGAGGGAATAAGGGGGTATTTGCAGGGCTGGTGGAGCAGCAGAATTTCTGGGTACCTGGGGCTTTGTGCCTCCTGCCTGGGCCTGGAGCCGCAGGCACAGATGGGCTCGGGAGGACGCGGCTCTGGCGCTGTGGCCGTGTGTCCTGCGCGGTGTCGGGGTCACCAACAACGTCTGTCCCCAGTTCTGTGTCACTTCTGGCTCTTTCTAGGGATGGGAAGAGCATTTGTGCCACTTCCAAAGCACTGCAGTGGAGTCTGGCCCTCCTGGCTGTGCTCAGGTCCCTTTTGGGGCAGGAGGGGATGAGCCCCTTGCCCGCTGTCCATGCCAAGGCACATCCAAGGAATGCAGCTTTGCCCTGGTGAAAATCCCACTCACAGGGGTTGTGCAGAACAAGGAACAGCAGAGCAGCTGTTTAGTATAACCTTAGGTAGCCCCAAAGTTTTCAAAGCTTTAGAAGCTCAAAATCCTCTAAAAGCACCTCCCAAACCATGGGTGTGAGCAGCAGCTCTGCCAGGTGAAGCGTCACAGCAGCTTTTTGCATTCGACTCAAAATCTTCTTTTTTTTCCCTTTGTTCTCAGCCCAACTCCTCACCTCAGCTGGGTGAAGGTCACAGGAAACATGCCCAAGGATGAGCCAGAGACAGAGAATTTTGGGAAGACACTGAAGATTGACCAAGTGACAGCAGCTGATGAGGGGACGTACCAGTGCACGGCCAGCAACCCCATGGGCAGGGCCAGGCACGAGTTCCACGTGCACGTGGAAGGTACTCACTACTCTTTACTAAAATTATTGGTTTGGGGCTAAAAGGTGGGAAAAGAGAGGTGAAGGAGGCTCTTTGTTAATATGAGCAACTCCAGCAATTGATGCCAGCCTCGTGGGTTTGAGATTTGCACAAAGTAACACCTCTAAGCCAACAGCAACAAAAAATGTCAATAATGATTTTTGTTTTTTTCCCCTGAACCATGAAGGCTTTAAAAAGCAGGGAACAATATAAATATGTGAGCAGGTTCAATACCCTAAAGATGGGAGGGAGTGAAGCAGAGGTATTGATGAAATGTCTTGTACTATACTGAAGGTCAGAAGAAAGATCTAATTATAATTTTTGCTCTTAAAAACTGTGAAAATGGTTATACTGGTCTGGATCAGAGGGGCATTTAGCTCAAGTCCCTTTCTTTGGTTTCCACCAGAAGTGGTCTCTTAGGGAGGGCTGTGAAAATTCAGTGAACAGACAACGTACCACCCCTTGCCTCCTTCACCTGTTCCTCTGCTCTGATTTTTGTATAAACACAACCTGAGCTGCGAGTGCTTTCTGGAATCCCTGAAAAGTATCACAAAACCTGTGAAACAAAGCAAAAAAGATGCTTTCTACTATTTTTTATCAGTTTAAAAAATGGAAATATGACCCTTTTTGTCACCTCACTGATTACCCAAAACTCCTTTTTCCCTTCTTCTCCTCCCCAAACCCTGAGGTGTGCATCAGGTGGAGATGCCCTTTCCCAGAAGCCAGCAGATCTCTGAGGAGTTGTTGCAGAACCAAGAACTCTCCCTGCCACTTCCTCTGCCCATAAATAGCTACAAACTGAGAATGCTGAGGCCCAGCTGAAAACCTTGCTGAAAAAAATTGCCTGATGAAAAAATGTTCCAACCTCTTGCTCTGCACTTAAAAAATAAAACAAATCCCTGGCAGTTTTACCCTGTTAGAACCTTCCAAGTGCTTCATTTTCATCAGCGTTCCTCATCCCTCTGTGGTCACCAGATTTCTAATGGGAGAAAAGAACTTTGAGCTCCCTGCTCTGTATTTGTTCAGCAGCTGAGGGAAAGATTCTCTCCCAGTGGCTGACGAGTCCTCTCCACTCCCTCAACCCAACCTTGTCCCTTGCATTCCTCTTCCCCTTGCTGGGAGTGTGGCAGAGGAGGATCCCAGGGCATGGCAAGTTCTCAGCTGTGGTGGAGGGGAAGTGCTGACTCCTAGAAATCCTTCCAGATGGTTTGGAGCATCTCTGCTCTAGCAGAATATTTTAACAATCTGGCTATGATTTTCTCGGCTGCAAAAAATCGATTTCCTTCAAAGAAATTGCAGGAGCTGCAAAAACTAAAATACCAGAGAAATAACATTAATTTTGCAGTTTAGAATATTGACCTTCTTCTCCCACAGCTTCCAGAGGAAGGAAAACTTCCTGGCAAACTTCCTGCTTATTAACAAACAAGTGCTTAGAAAAAGAGAAAAGCAGGAAATAATCCCAATCCCAGCCACTGCAACATAAAAAATCCTTTTCCAATTGCTATTAAATCCATTTTCCATGTGTGTAACTAAAGGTGGCTCCTGTCAGCAGCAGGGATTCTTCCAATTAGGAGTCACCTCACATCCAAGGTATCAAGGTAAACCTGAGCCCAAACCCTGCTGTCTTCTCCAATTCCTGAGCAGCAAATGTCGCTGTCGTTAATCAGAGATGGACACGTTCATCATTCTTGCAGGAGCTCCTCTGAGCACACTCAAGGGCACATCCTGAGTATTAATTTCAGGAGGCTTCAGGGAGCTCGTGCTGGTGTTGGGCTCCTCACACCTGACAGGTTCCTCTCATAGGATGCATGCAGGGAGAAGAAAATTAAATATGGAAGAAAAATTATCTGTTATCAACCTCCAGCCACCCTCAGTGGAGTGCTGGGGTGTAAATCAGGATTTTTCTGTCACCATGCCACATTTTCTGTTCCACTTTCTGGTATTTGAGGATCTCAAACCAACATCCCACCCTTCTAAATACCAGTTTTGATGATATTTGCATGCAGCCCACTTCCTAATCCTACCAAGTCTGAGGGCAAAAATTCAGGCAATCATTACCAAGCATATAAAAATATTCAGCAAGCAAATTGTTTGACTGTTTGAGCATTTTAATCTCTCTTTGCAAGGGAAGATGTAGCCTGGAATACCTGAGCAGACAAAAACCCCCACTATTGTTATTAAAATGAGAGAGAGTTATTTTAAAGAAAACAGCAAAGCAAGCCCACAAATTGTTTTGACTTCAAGTGTTTATTTAGTTGTTGTTTGTAGTTCACCAAACTTGACAAAAAATGAATATATAACCTCCAAATCTTGCAGGATCATCATCAGCTAAAGTTACTTTGATCTTGACTGAGGCTTCTAGGTGGGGTTTAATAGAAATAAATGTTACAATATGATGATTAATTATAGTAATAATGTAATAGCTAAGGGCCTTTGCAGTTATGTCTCGTAATACTTTTATTACTCAGCCAGAGCAAAAGAAAAGAGATTAAATTAATGGGAAGCAGAAGCAGAACTGGGTGTTTTAATCAGGCTCAAGCCTTCTGTTTCACTGGAAAATTGCTCCAACATGGATGCAGAGCCCAAGGTGGAAACAGCAGCTGCTGCTGGCCCTGGGGTGGGATGGATTCCCAGCCTTTGGGAGCAGAATTTGAAGTGAACTTGACAAATTGGGGAAGTAGTGTGGGATAGAAAGGATGGGTTCAGCAGGAACAAGCACAGAGCAGTTCTCACCAGGCAGCACTGATTGGCCTCATCAGCAGAGGCTGGGAAATGCCTGCTTGGGTTTATTGGGAGAATCCACTGGATGGCAGGAGGAACATCTCTGGGAAGTGTTAGTCTGGCAGAAAAGGCAAAAATCATCCTGGAAAATAGAAGGAAAAGTGTTGTTGTAAGAGACTGCTGGGAACTGAGAAGTCCTCACCTAAAGTAAGCAGATTTACAACTTCATCTTCTTCAGGAAAGGTCAGGAGAAGGCAGCAGGGGTGGTCACAGGGCTCAAAATATGGCATTTGGGGAAAAAAAAAATTACATATCTTTAATTTAGGAGAAATTACACCTGGGGAATGCACAACAACCTTCAGAGGAATGGAAGATTCTCCACCAAGTTCCCTGGGGGTGATGGAAAACAGGGGAGAGTTAAACTGCAGCAAGGCAGAAGCTGGTTAGATGTCCCAAATTTGTTCTGCTCATGAGGAAAACAGTGGAAGAGGCTGAGGGGAAGGTTTGGATCCTTTGTGGGTATTTTAGATTCTGTTGGAGAGGCCCATTTTAGATCCCTTTCATTCCTGGATCTGTCAGTATTTCCCATAAAGACATAAACCAATCAGGAAAAGCAAATTGATAACTCTTACCAGGAAGAATAAATGATGCAGTGAAATAGTTGCCATTCCAGAATAACTATTTGATTATCCAACCCCTGGATTTTGTAGTTGCTAAAAATATGTGTATATTTTGTTATATTTTGTATACTTTAAGCGGTATAGCACATCTGCCACGTGGAAAAGAGGTTCTTCAGCCTTTCTGTGAAATTGAATTTCACACCTGGCAAAATCTCATTGCCTCTGACTTCACAGCTTCTTCACTTCCTTGGAGCACTCACAGCAATTCCAGTGCTGAGAATGGGGAGCAGTGACATCAAATATCAGCTCACAGCTCCAGAGTGTGGCACAGGTATAGGAAGGGATCTTTCAGGTGGTTTTTATTCAGCCTGTGCCTGGTGTCTCCAAACCAGGGAAATATCCTGTCTCAGTTTGTGGCAGATTTAGGGGAAAAATTCCAAACCAGCAATTTAATCAGGACTGCTACAAACCTTTTCACCTCCATGCCTTTGACTCGTCTTTATCTGATGAAACTATGGTGTATATGAGAAAGAAGAAAAAATATCTGCAAAACCAAAATATTCTGGTGTTTGCAGAGTTTTTCCCTGGAGCCAGATACCAGGAATCTTAACAGATGTGGTCATGTCACTGTGGGATGGGAAGAAGCACTGAGTGAGGATGTTGGTAGAAAAATCCCTGCTGTGTGAAGCAAGTGGGATGATTTTATCATTTTAAATAAGCTTTAGCCGTTTGAATTTGACTTCAGTCCTTGTGTGTTAATTAAACCATTCCTGGGTGCTCTCCTATGGGAATACTGCTCTGGATGTGGAAATGCACCCCACTTTAGGGGTAGTTTTAAAAAATATCTGTGTGAATGTGAGCAGTGATGTTTTGTTTTAGCATATCTCACTGATAACATCTGTTGCTGTATTACCAGGCAACAGCTCTGTTAATCTTCAAAGCATTTTATGAGCGTTAACTAATGAATCCTCACGTTTTTCCTACATTACCTCACCTTTTTAATAGGGAAAATTAAAATAAAACCCTGTGATCTTCCCAGCACTTGCAGAAGAAGCAGTGTCAGGTCTGGTGTTAAAATCTCAAAGTTTGGTGCCTTTCAAGGGGAAATGGTGAATTCCAGGCTGTGTTTTGGGTTGAGGCTGCCCACTGATGGCTCAGGGACCTGTGTTCAGTCACAATTAAGCATTTATGAGATAAATTCCCTTTTTCTCTCCCCTTCATTTCCCTTCCCTCATTATGGATGTCTGTTCCACACGAGGTTTGGGTACCTGATGCTCAGGGGCTGCTCTGCAGAGCAGAGTTTTCCCAGAGCTTCCCTGGAACAGCTGGGAAAGGAGAGCACGGGGGAATGCAGCAGCACATGGCTGCTCCTCTACCACCACCCTGTGGCACCAAACCACTCATCCCCAGCCATGAGAGAATGTTTTACGATTCCTAAATGTGGTATGGATCAGCCTCTGATCTGAATACACCATGGTAAAACAGGAAATCACGGTGATGGTGCATTTCCTCAGCACAGGGAGAGGGGCAGGTGGATCAAAGTGGATCAATGCTGTCCTGGAGTTCTGTCAGCTCCCAGGGAAGGTGATGGGAGGCACTTGCTCGTGCCTGTGGAGGGGAATTCGAGCTGGATGGATGTTCCCACCTTGTTTGTCTTGCTGCAATAGCCTCACCTTAATTCATAGATCACACTCACAACTGAGGGTCCTTGTGGAAATGCCGACCCATTTCCTCCCTCCCAGCCTCTCCCTCCCTGTGGATTTGTTTCCCACTTGGATGAACGCTGCCCATTCCTCCACCCTGCCTGACGCCCATCAAGCCTGCAGAACAGCACTGGCCTGTGCTGATGCCAATTTCACCTTTCCTTTACATCGGAAATGCAAGGAATTCAGCTCAACCACGAGATGGATGGGCTGTGAGCAGCGGCTGGGAAGTGTTGGTGGCGTTTGCCATCTCCTGGAGAATCCCAGCAACAGCAGAGGCACACGGGCTGTGACTGTGGTGCCTCAGGATTTCAGCTTTTCTATTTTCCATCCATTTGTAATCCTGCAGTTCTTTAGTGTGTAACTCTAAACTCCACACCCAGTGGGAGCTGTTGCTTTCCCAGTTTGGGCAGACACAACAATTCCTCTCCAGGCCTGGCAATCAAGGACACCTCACTGCCTCAGGCCCCAGAGATGGGAACAAAAGTGAGTTGGGGGAGCAAACTTGGGGTCAATGACTTCATTAGCTGAAGCTGGAATTGGCAGATAACTCCAATATGCAAATGGACCAAACTTATCAAAGTGTGAAAACCCATGACCCACTGTCCATTTTTGGGTGCAGCCCCTGGGGCTGCCCTAAATGTACCTGAAGGCCTTTCAATAAATAGAACAGCTATTTATTCCCTTAATTTAGTTTAGCCACTGCTCTTAGGTAGTCCCAAAGAGGCATCAACTGATCCCTGCTCTGTCTCTTTTCCCAGAGCCTCCCCAGTGGCTGAAGAAGCCCGAAGGTGGGGTCTACAGCGTGGGGACAAACCTGGTGCTGCTGTGCGAGGCCATTGGGAACCCCGAGCCCAGCATCCAGTGGAAGATCAATGGGATGCCCATCGATGGTACGTGCAGGGGCCAGGCTGCTCCTCCTGCCCAGCTGGGGTGTGCTTCTGTATCAGCCAGTTTGAGGGGACCCACAAGTCCCAACATGCAGACTGATGTCTGGTTTGGCACCTCTTTAGAAATGAATTGTTTATTTACTTAAACAAACTAACATTTAAATAAGATTCTGGAAGAGGGTGATGGTGAACATTGGACCTGTGGAGCTGTGGTACCTTTGAGGTGTTGCCCTGTAATTCTCCTATTTTTTGGGGGTCTGGGACAGCTCGAGGGCTCCTTTGTGCTTCTGATTCAAGTGGCTGGGGAGCACTGGTGTGGTGATATTATTAATAAAATTTCAAAAAGTCTCTGTGGTGAATTTACTGGAATTTGGTGCTCTAGACCACTTCCCTCAGGCCACAGGGCTGCAGACAAAGGCAGAGCCCTGGAACTCACCAGTTGTTGGGCACGATTTTGGTTGGAATTTCAAGATGTTCTTTCCTTTGGCTTCCCAGCAGTGAGGAGAGCCTGGGAGCTCCCCAGTCGTGGTGTTCCTCCAGCTGCTGACACAATCTGGTGTTTTGCAGGCAGGACCTTCCGAGGGAGGATCTCCACCAGGGAGATCAGCCTGACCAACCTGCAGCTGCAGGACAGCGCCGTGTTCCAGTGCGAGGCCACCAACAAACACGGCACCATCCTGGCCAGCGCCAACGTCAACGTTCTCAGTGAGTGCCCCGGGCTGTCCCCTCCCAGAGAGCACATCCACAACCCAAGCTGAATCCTCAGAGCAGCCTGGGACTTGCCACCATCTCATGGTTCCTTTGGGTTCCTCATGGTTCCTTTGGGTTCCATGGTTTCTTTGCTGGTTGTGGGCATCTCATGGTTCCTTTGGACTGGTCCCAGATTTTAAGAAATGTTGTCAAGATTTTTACAACGGGTTTTGTCATGGGCAGTGTTATGTGCTTAGCACAGGCACTCCTGAGCTTTGGAATATTTTAACAACATGGTTGCGGTTGGGCTCAAAAATTTGAATTCAAGCACAGTGAAACCGCTGGGGACTGAATTGTGGCCACAATGCTGGTTTTGAATTCTTAAGTGTATTTTTAATCTTTGATTTCAGTTGTGATGCTCAGTCTTTTCTATGAAGAAAGGGAGTGAGGGGAATTTATTTAATAAAAGACGTCTCTGGAGGCAGCAGAACTGGGTCTATTTTCTCTCCTGGATGTTTCAGTTTCTGACATGTCCAGCAGTAAACCCCTGTTATCTCTGTCAGTGAAGCTTCTGTGAGCTCAGCTGCTCAGTGCAACTCTTCCAAACAGCTGTGAAATTCCCATTAAACACCTCAGCCTCTCACCCTTGCTGGAAAAGGGCAGGATGCAGGGCCAATATTTTTATTCCTAATTCTGAAGTGCAGTGTTGCTCACATTGAATTCTCTCCTGCAGATATTGCCCCCCTGATACTGACCCCAGATGGGGAAAACTACGCCACAGTCGTGGGTTACAGCGCCTTCCTGCACTGTGACATCTTTGCCTCACCTGCAGCAGATGTCAGATGGTAAGATACTGGAAACTGTTTTTTTTTTTTTCATGTGAAACAAGTTCCTGCAGGCTTCCCCAAGTTTGAAAAGTCTGCTAGTTACTACTTCTATAGAGTTGAGAATAGAAATTTGCAACAAAACTGTATATAATGTAAATTCTCTGTGTTTAAATGCACTTTTAAGAATTCTGAAGAACTGGTTTGGAGAAGAAATGTTCCTGGAAGTCCCCAGTACCTGTTTGAGACAAATGCCAGGCTATACATTAAACAAAACCATGCTGTTTATAGCCAAATCCTGCTGCAGCTTCATCAGTTTAATACTGGCAACTCTTCAAGTTTGGGCACGTTATTGAGGTGGAAATGCAGTGACTTACAGAACACATTTACCTGGACATGCTTCCATAGGCTTGGAAATCACAGGATTGTCACAGCAGGTGACAGGTGCAATAAAATTGCAGGTGGCAGCTGTAGATTAAAGACAGAGTATTTTAGAGAACTTTTTAGGCTCTCTCCCTGTGGGTTTGATTTGCTGCACGTGCATGAAGTATCTCACTAATCCTGACTTTAATTGCTCAGTGGCAGAGCTGAGTCCCAAAATTCCCCTGCAATAACCCCTAACCATGAACTGACACTTCCTGCAGTAACCCAGGCTTGTTTTTATCACTTTAGGACTAAGGATGACAGCATAGAGCCCCTCTCAACGTTTCGCTACGAGTTAAACAAGAATGGCACCCTGGAGATCAGGGACACAAAGAAGGAGGATTCGGGGTCCTACGCCTGCTGGGCTGCAAATTCTGTGGGGAAAAGAGCAATCACTGCTAACCTGGATATAAGGGGTGAGAAAACAAAAAAAACTTTCATAGCTGCTAAGATGTTATGTCTACAATTTTTCAGGAAGTAGTGAATATTCAGTCCAGGGTACAGATTTATTCTGTGACTTCAGGAATTATCTGGATATTGCAACCTGAAATTGTCACAGGTCTCATATAGCCTTTAACTTTTCAGCTGGATTTCTCCATGCTCTCACGTGGTGCCCATTTTCCTCTGGATGCTTGCAGAAGTGGCACAAGCCACCAATAATAATTGTGGCACAATAATATTTGTGGCACAGCCACAAATAAAAATTTGCATTTACACATTATCCCGAAAGGTTTTTCCGTCCTTTTTGTCACTGCCCTGTTACACTCAGGGCAGGCTCTTGGCTGACCCTTGGGAGCCTTCCCTGTGCTCCTGGGCTTGGTGGGGTCCTTGTTGATCCAGATGTGTTCCTGCTTTTCCCCCAGCTGTGGGATTCCTTTCCCTAAAATTCCTTCCCATCAGAAGGCACATCCCAAACTGGATTGACTCCCACAGTGGACACCAAACAGGTTGCAGGGTGCTGCTGGTTGAAGGACTTTGCACTGGGCTTTTGCCTGTTTGTTGATAAATATTTTTAACAGAGCAAATAAAAATCCTCAGAGGTGTTTACTTTTAAATTTTAGATCCATCCCTTGCTATGCAGCTCTGCTTTAAGGGATTTGTGTGGTTGGCTAGCAGGAGGAGTTTTCCCTGGAGGGTGTGATGGCAGTGGGCAGCTCCTGTTGGGGACACAGGTGGCATTTAGTGGGTTTTCTACAAATTTGCTTAGGATTTAGGGCTTGCCAATTAAAAAAAAACCCCAAAACCTTAAATACTCAATTAGCAAAGCTCTCTGATGTAGGTTTGCTGTGACAAACTTGAGGAAAAAGCTCACTCTTTTTGTTCCATTTCCACCTGCTCCCTTGGCTTTGGGAATTTTACAGTGATAATAAACATGAAAATGTACAATGACGTTCTCACAGAGCAACATTTCACTGCAGATATAAATTCAGCTAAGCACCTTCTTCTTACTTATTCATCTGTTTCTGCATTCACATTATAGTCAATTAAAAGAACAAACTTGATTGCAATAATTTTTTCTCACTTGACTTTAATATGCTTGTAATTTTTCTTGGATCATTGCCAAAGCTTATTTCAAATGGCAATTAGACATAAAAAATCATATTCAAGCCCTTTTTTTTTATTATCATCCGTTTCATGACAAGATGATAACAAGGATTTTCACCTGTAACTTTTCTTTGTGGATTTTTTTTTTTTTTGGAGCTCTTTGGTTTGGAGTGAACTAAAAAATGTTTCAAGATAAAAAACGTTTGAAGATAAAAAAACTGTTTCAAGATAAAAAAATGAAATCCTGGCAAATATCTATTTCAAACCCCACCATCCTTCACTTGAAATGTTTGTGTATATAGCAAAAAAAAAAAGACATGATTGTTGCTCCTGAGGTTGATTTGTGTAGATGAAGTGCTTGGTGGAAATTTGATGTAATAGCCCCTCTCTCACCTAATCAAAGTGTTTTTCTGTGATCAATCAGATGCTACAAAACTTGTTGTTACTCCGAAGAACCCCCGAGTGCTGAAATCACATTCCATTTTATTGAAATGCCAGGCTGAGTATGATTCCCACTTGAAACACAGTTTTAAATTATCCTGGAGGAAGGATGGAGATGAGCTGCCAGTCAACAGCACGGAAGGTGGCAGGTGAGTGGGGAAGGAACAAGGCTGTTCTTGATCTTAGCTGGATAATCTGGTGTGGTGCTGGAGCTGGAGTTTCATTAAACATGAGCCTTAATAGCTTGAAATGCAAATTTATGTCTGCAAAGAATTCTTCATGAGATATGTGAGTAGATCTGCATTTTACACACATCTAAATATAAATGCAGCAATGTGAGTTTTGAGCCAAATGGGTTTGGGTTTATTAACTCTGTTACCATCATAGCAGAATATAAAGTTATATATTAATATATACATAATACATATCTAAATTTTTATGTATAATATAAATGTTGGCCCAACCCAAAACCACAACCCTGACCCCAGTGCAGGTTGTTTCTCCACTTCAGTGGAACCAGTATTTTCTTATAGTTTGCACTTATTTGGCCAAAACAAAGTCTTTGCAATGCTGAAGTGATGGTAAATAGGTTTCTGGATTCTGCTATGAATCTTTCCTACATATGAGTTTAGGATTTGTAGGCTGAATTTTGCCCTATTTTTAGGGGTAAGACCCTCAGGGGGCTGCAGCTCAGCCTTTATTCCACAGAGGGGTCCCTCAGGGGGAAATCAGATGTCTTTATTAATTACCACAGGAGAGAGATGATTTCTGAAATACTGGAGAGGCTGAAATTCCTGCTGAGCCCTCATAGGATGGTGAGGCAGTGCCATGGAAACTCCATGTCTGCCACGAAGCCCATGGCCTTGGATTCTTGGCAGCTTCCCTGGTGCTTTGGACATGACACAAGTGCCTTGGGAATGCTCAGTTTCCCTCAATCTTGCAAAAATTCTATCACAAACCCCATATATTTGTCTCATTAATGACGTGCCAAAATCCTATGGCCCTGACGCTCATCCAGTGCATCTCAATGTGCTTCTTTTCAGAGCAGGATTGACAGGCCAACCTCCAGCCACGGAGGCTAAATTGCCACAAAATACAAATAATACTCCTCAGCATAGTGTAGAGCAGAGCCACAATTACATTTTAATGTAGCAGGCCCAATGTGCAGCTATTTAATGAAAGTGCCCCATGCCAAGTTCTATTATGAACAGTTTTTCAGGGAACAACGTCTGTGTGTCATACTCACATATTATTCTCGTCCTTATTGCCACTTTTTTTCTTTGCCCTGCAGGATAATTCTGGACAGGGATACCCTGTTCATATCCAGTGTTCTCCTGGAGGATCAGGGAGTTTACAGGTGTGTGGCCAGCACTGCCCTGGACACCGCCGAGGCTGAGGCGCAGCTTATCGTTCTGGGTAAGGTCGATTTTCCTGCTGCAACTCCTTGCAGCAGGAATTGCCACTGCAGCACTTCTTTGCTTCTTTTCACAGAGCCTCAATAACCCAATTTCACAGAGCCTCTCACTCCGTAAGCTCAGCTGTGCTGTCCCTTATCTCTGGGAACGGCGATGCTGACACAAACTCGATTTATTTTCATTTTTGGTGTAGCAAGGTGAGGCAGCATTTTTGCCTCAGCTCAGTGGCTGCAGGAGTTGCCCAGGCTGGAAGGTGTGAGAGCATACTGAGAATGGTTCTGCTGCTGCTTTGAAGTCCTTGGCCAGTCCTTCACAAGAATTGGGCTGGTTTTTGAAGGTCATCAAGCCAATATTTGGACGTGCAGCTCCTCAGAAGATCAGTGCGAGTTAAGCACCTAAAAGGAATTAATTCTGTCTGTGAACTGAGCATGAATGATTTTCCAGGGGCAAAAAGAAGAGTCTGGACCCCCTGGGTCTGAAGCTTGGCCTTCTGAGAGCATCCTCACCACCTGCATCCCTCCCTGAAGGACCCCTTGGAATTAAGAGGATGAACTTGTGGAGTGCTGTGCACCCATTGCACCCAAGGGCAGCAGCCAAAATTCTGCTTTGTGGTCACAATTTTGGCCAGCCTGGTCTAGGTGAAGGTGTCCCTGCCCATGGCAGGGGGCTGGAATTAGATAATCTTTAAGGTTCTTTCCAACCCAAACCATTCTGTGATGTGACAGATTCACATCATTTTAATTACATTTATTTTTGCTTCATTTTGCATTTTTCTTTATTGCTGGCAGTGATTGCAGCAAGAAATAAGTCAATCTGCCCTTCAAGATGTTTTTCCACTTTAAAGGAGTGATATTTTTCAGTAAATAGTAAATTAGGAAGATGCTGTGCACATTATTTATGGTGCTGTGTCCTTCGGTGCTGTATAATTCAAAATGTTTGTAGATTATTTGTTACTTCACTTATGAAAATTTCATAAAGCATTTTATTCCTTTTTAAAAAGGTGCTTTGCAGAAGAAGAAAAACATTTTTGTGCTCTTTTCCCTTGTTTATTGCACATGAGAAGGGTCTTGGTGAATTTACAGCATCTTACTTTCCAAGTGAAAAATTCAGGTTTTTGCAATCAAGGACTGGTGGGCTGACTGAAGAACTAAATAAATAAATCAGAATAGGGGCAACAGAGAGTAAAATAAATATTCAATTAGAATAAATCTAAGTATTTGTTTTGTGTATAATGAACAGGTAGAGGGGTGAGAATATTTAAGATGCACCATGACCATCTTTAAATTAATATATTGAATTTTAACCAGCTGTACTCTGAGGATAGAGCAGCAGCATGCCTGCAGATTAAACTGTGCTTTCCTGATATTTTACATATTGATATTGATATATTACAAGAGAAATAGGGAAAGAAATAAAAAGAAAACTAAAAAAAAAAAAATCCAAACATAAACTTTTTAACTTCTTGATGTATCCTGAGATAAAAAAACTTAGTATTGTAATTTTTAAAAAATCAGTACGAATGCGGTGAATTTTTTTCACAATGACAAAGACAGTCATGGTGGTGGAAGTCACTGTTTTTTTCTGTAAAAAATGGCATTGTCAGTCAAAATTGTTGTTGGGACAGCATTATTTGAGCTGGCAGGTAGTGAATTTCCCAGTTCCCCATTAATGCAGATCCCATGGCTGGGATAATGAATGTTCTCCTTTCCCTCACACTCAAAGGCCAAGGTCAGACACTGCCAGAGCTGAGGCACCTTCTCCCACTCTGATCTGTCCCAGGGTAAATCCAAGTGATGCTGGACCTGCCCAGGGCAGGATCAGTACCCATTATTGATTCAGCAGATCTTGGGGTTGATTTGGAAAGAAAAATCTATTGTTGCAAGCACGATAATGCAGGTAGAGGGAGATGAATTCCAGAACGATTTTGTGTTTATAAGGGAAAAATCGGCACCAGAAGATTCAGGATATTTCAAAGCAATTCCCACTTTCCACCACCTGTCCTTCTTGAAATCAGGAGGTGTTTCAACACCATCTTCCCTAACTGTGCTGTTCCAACCCTCTGGAAAATGCCAGGACAAACAGAAATACCTTGCTGTGCTCCTGACACTTCTTTATTTCTCAGATGTTCCTGACCCACCAGAAGACCTCCAGCTCTCGGAAAACCAAAACCGGAGCGTTCGACTCTCCTGGAAAGCTGGGGCCAGCCATAACAGCCCTGTTAATGGTAGGAAGGGGTTTCCAGCATAACCTTTTAGGGCTGTTCAGAATTCTGGCACATCCTGGTTGTCACAGGTGGCCAGATTTAATAATTTTTGACTATGATAGTTCGTTTCTTGCAAGTTCATTTTCACCCACTCAGTTCACGCTAAGTAGGATTTTTTATCTTTTTTTCCTTTTTTCTTTTGTCCTTTTTCCTGCTCAGAGTCAATTATAGAGTTTGAAGAGAACCACTGGGAGCCAGAGGTGTGGCAGGAGCTGATCAGAGTGCCAGGGAATGACACCACAGCCCTGCTGTCCCTGTCCCCATATGTGAATTACCAGTTCCGCGTGGTGTCCGTCAACGCCGTGGGCAGGAGCCAGCCCAGCAAACCATCCCTGCGCTATGCGACCCCTCCAGCTGGTAAACCTGGCTCTGCTTTCCTAAATATTCACGTTTTCAGTGCTTTTTTTTGAAATATCTGTGCCCTCCCATGCTCCAGAGGGTGTGAAGGAATCAGGGTCGCTTGCACTGCTCAGTGGCAGCCTCAGGGATTCTAAAAAAGTAAAAGTAAGATAAAAAAGTAAAGTAAGATAAAAGTAGATCCTGTGGTGGAAATTACCCCCAGCTGGTTTAGTGGACTGGAATAACCCTCAGTAATTTTGGTAGGGCAGGTGACCATTTAAATTAACTAAAGTGGTGCATTTTCAGAGGTAAAATCAGCTGCAGGATGTCTCGTGACAAGCCATATTCTTATATTTTAGATATTAATGAGATGGGAACCCTGCTGGCGTGAATTCTTCAGTGATTGGTAAAAAAGAGCAGCCCAGCAGTTGCACGTCACATGTCCAGGCATTGTTTTGAGCATTTGATGTGCAGTTAGGACAAATCTAAATTTTAATGACTGAACTTGCTGTGCTGCATAAAATTCCTGAGAATGCCAATGGGAGGAGTCCACACTGCTGAGTTTTCCTACTCTTCCAGCACCTCACTCTGCTGATTTTCCACCCTTTGCAGACCTTCATGGACAAGCAGTTCCTGCAGAAGGGCTGGGTTTACAGGGAGCCTTTCAGGAGCACTAAGCTTGTCAAAAATCTCCATTTACAGAGCATTCACTGGGGCAGAAAATGTTGTCTCCCTGAAATTCATTTTAGAGGCCAACTGTTCAGTGCAGCATTTGCATTCCTTGGCATTTTCTCTCTTTTTTTTCCCCCATTTACACCAATTTCAGGTCCCTCTTCAAATTTCCAGCTGTGTGTGCACCTCTAATGATGCACCTTCTGTTTGCTATCCCCACAGGGAGAAAAATCTCTTCCTTATAATCCCCCCACATCTGGTGCTTTCAAATCCAAAAGTCACAGTTCCATGTTAGCTGATGGCTCCAAACAACACGGACACTTAGGAATCCAAATTTGCTTGGGTCCCATCAGCTTTGCTGATCCAAGCCATTCATCTTATGAACGTTTTTTGTTTAAATATCTGTCACTAATAGGGGAATTTCCCATCCTTTTTGGCATTTGAATGCTAAATGCAAATAAATGGGATGTGCAAACTAACCTTGTCACCTGTGTGGTTTCAGCTCCAGATAAAAACCCAGAGAACATCCGAGTTGAAGCCTCTGAACCCAATGAAATGGTGATGAAATGGGAGGTAAGGCAAGATTAGCAAATCCTATAGGAATGATCCTTTATTCTTCTGAAAGATGAATTTGACTTAAATGTATTCTGGATTTTCAACCCCAGTATCATTTTTACTTCAAAAGGCTGGTTTTTATGTCTGACTTCACAGGATATTTAAAAAAATATGGAATTCCTGTAAAGCATAGTGAGAATTCGCCAAAATTTGCTCTTCTTGGCTTCTTTTATGCAAGAAACTGCTTCAAATAATTGTGGTCTTACCCTGCTCTGCAATTAAAATTACCAGCCAGGCCCAGGGAGGGATTGGGTGGCTCATGGCTTCTGCTCTTCCAGCCTGGAAGTTTAAAAACGCCACAGATCTCTTGCCCAAGAGAATGTGAGCTTGAATTTTTACACCAAGAACTAAAGGAATGTGGATAAACCTCCAAAGCCTGTGATGTGCATCAAAAGAATTATGTAAAAGTCTTGAGGATGGTTTCCAGGCTTCAAATTTCCTGGTTTTTAAGCCTTGAGCTTCTGTGCCAGCAGTTGAGTTATGTATTCCTTCATTTAGCACAAATATCCACAACTGTGGAAGGAAGCAGGTTTTTGTTGAGACTGGAATTGCACACAATTTGCATGAGATTTACTCCTCAATCTGCTGCTCCCAGAGAAGAACAACAAATGTTTCCCCAGTGGGAAGTCGTGGTTTGGGGTAGAATTGCATCCAAAAGGAGATGGCCCTCAAGGTCCATGGGCTTGGATTTGAATGGGATTTTTAGCCCAGGGTCAGGGGAGACAGTTCTGCCTCTCAGAAAAGGTTGGATTTGATCTTGGAGGGTCTTTAATGAATCCATGAGATGCAGAGTTTTATTACTCAGTATGTTTACTGGGAAATACTGGGATGGCCAACACATCTTTGAGCACCAGGAACTTCATAATCACTGCTCAGACAGGGCAAAAGTGGAAGTGAAAGCTGAGTCTGAAAGGAGAGAATGGGATGGAAAGGCTTGGTTAAATCTTGTTGAATCATTAAAATGTTGTTAAACAGGATATTCATTTATTTATGGCATTTCCTCTGTGCTTTTCAGAGGAACTGCTGGGCACTGCACAGGCTGTTTCTGACAGACAAAGGCTGCAGAATGATGTTAATCTGCCTATTTTGGATTAAGAGACCAGCTGAGCTTTAGTGAGTGGGATTTTCAGGCAAGGATTTGCAGCTTTAAGGGAGATCAAAATAAAAGTCAAGCAGTGCTGCAATTTAACTCTATACAAGAAATTGGGTTTTTAGGAGGAATTTTTTACTTCTCCAGCTTCTCTTGCAAATTCCATTCCCTGGGACTTTGCTGTGGAGGTGATACCTGTGAGAAAGCTGCCCAATCTCCCTATTCCTTTGTCTCAGACATCCCAAAGGTCCTTAGAGCAGAGCAGATCAGTGGGAATTTTTTGCAGATCCCCCAAATTCAGGTCTCCCCATGCATGAGGAACATCAAAGAGGAATAACTTTCTACTGGTATTTGATGCTATTTCCTGTCAGACCTCTTGGATACAAACTAGCTATTACATATATCATATTTGCCTATATTTAAATATTATTAAAGGCAGCCTATATGGTGGGAAACACCCACAGCTGTTTCAGTATGTAGCTTTTTTGGTAGGTCAGGTGATTATTTAACTTTCTTAATTAAAGTAGTGCATTTTCAGAGAAATAAATTCAACTTGAGGATGTCTCATGACAAGCTATTGCTATACATCTCCTAATATTTTATAAATTCATGTTAATTAGCTGGAAACCCTGCTGGGATGAATTCTCCAGCTGATTGGTAAAAGCAGAGTGGCCCAGCAGTTGCACATTAAATGTCCAGGCGTAATTTCAACCATTTGGTGTGTAGTTAGAACAAATCTAAATTTTAATGACCCAACTTGCTGTGCTACATAAAATTCTAGGATAAAATGCAAATTTTATCTCTGCTAAAAGGCACACACTGCCTTGTGCCAAACTGTGCAATTCAGTAGTGCTGAAGGCAGGTGGTTTCACCTCACACAGGAAAACCTGTGGCAAAACAAAATGTGATATGTGTAGGAGGCAGAAATATGGCTCCTAGCAATTAATCTGGATTTTAATCCAAGCCTTTCACCCTCCTTTCTCTTGAAGTCATACTGTTGTTGTTCTAATCAACCTTAAATTTAAATGACAGCAAAACCTCAAAGCTTGGGGTTTTTGCCCCTTTTCTGTCCCAGTGTTGTAACACACATTCCAATCCCTGTTCTTCTAAATTCTTCTAAGCCTTCTGATGTTGACATTCCTGTAATGAACTTTCTCTTACACTTTATGTAAATAATTATTGTTTTTACATTCTTCTCTGGGGGAAGAGAAATTTGATGGACTGTTGTCTTGTCCAGTGTCATTGGAGAGGTGGCATTTTCATCCTGCAATCCACTGTCACTTTTGAAAATCTATAAATGTTGGAGTCAGAAAATAAACCTCCCTCCTTTTTCCCTTGGAGGTTCCAGCATGCACATGTCATTTTATTTCGTGTCCTAGAGTGACACAAAACCATTTCCCCTCCCCTTGGGCTGCTGTTTTGTGATAAAAACAAAGTCAGACAAGATCTCTTTTAACTTCTCCCCAGCCACTGAAGCCCATGGAGAGGAACGGGCCGGGGCTGGAGTACAAGGTCAGCTGGAGGCAGCGGGGCGTGGAGACCGACTGGAACGAGGAGCTGGTGAAGAAGCACTCCCTGAGTGTGCGGAACGTGCCCACCTTTGTGCCCTATGAGATCAAAGTCCAGGCCGTCAATAATTTAGGATCTGGCCCAGAACCAAACATCACCATTGGATATTCAGGAGAGGACAGTGAGTGGCAGGAATTTGACTGTAAAAACGGGAGTTTCTTCTGTGCTGCAGAACGCTCGGGTGTGGAGTGATGGATTGGGCAGCCCAAAGCTGCTGGAGTGCCAGTGCTCAGCCTGATGGGCTCCATGAGGCAGGGATGTGACCCATGCTGGGTGCCTGGATGCCAGCCTGCTGGAGTGTGAGGGGTTTTTTTGGAAAGGTCACTTATTCTCTCATTAATCTCAGTTGTTGGCTTAGTCTGGGTACTTGTTTGAAGGCCACAGTCCATGAGAAGTCTCTGAAGTGTAGCAGTCGGGTTGTACTAGGTAGGGAAAAAATCTTTAGGCTCTCTGAGGCTTGACCCAACAGTTTAATGCTGTCAGAAGTTAAGTAGTCTGACAATTAGGGACAAACTCACAGGCACGGAGTGTTTGAGTGAATTTGCAGACAATGCCACATTCCCATGTGTGCTGGTGTTACCTTGTCCTTGTTACCTTGTTCCTGAAGAATGTGTCATCCTCTCCAGCCTGGGTTTCTGCCCCATGGCTTTCCATGGCTCCCAGGTGGAGTTTCAGTGCTGGAAATGGACTCGGTGGTGGTCAGACAGGAGAATCCCCACTGCCCACCCAGAGGTGGGAGCAGGAAGTTTTGGAGGTGCAGAAGAGGTGGCGAATAGCGAGAACAAGAAAAAAGAAACTCCACAGCATGTTTATTTTCTTTGTCTCTCTGTGATGAGTCTAATTTTGCATCTACCAGTGGAAAATCTTCCTCACAATTCAGTTGTCAATGGATCAAGGCCTCCTTTTTTCAGGCACTGTAATAGCTCTCTGTGTTATGCAGTGATTAAAATCCTACTGTTTAATGAGCTTAGTTGTAAAATGAAATTGATTATGAAAAAAACCTTTATGATTGCCTTCTTGAGTGCCATGTTAATCATTTTTTTTTATTCTTCTCACTGCTGTAAGCATTGCTTGAAACAGGAAATCATAAATACTGGTGTAGAAATTCATGTGTCCCAGTGCACATGTATCTCAACCCTCAGCAGAAAAATACAGAAAAATAATGTTTATTGGCCCATTCTACCCACTGGATGCAGGTGGAATGGCTTTTTGCTTGCCTGCAGTGAGACTGCATGAAGTGGCACAGCTGGAGCTGGAAAGCCAAGCCCTGGAGCTGTGAATAGTGTGAGTCTGGGATTTGGAAGTGTTTTTAACACCTGGGACTTTTGTTTTTACAGTTCCAGATGCTGCTCCTTCGGGTGTGTCAGTGGAGGTCGTGAACAGCACCCTGGTCAAAGTCTTCTGGTTTGGGATACCAAGGGACAGAGTTCGTGGGCACTTAAGAGGCTACAAGGTTACAAATCTCTCTATAAATATTTGTATATAGTTGAATAAATTATTAAATGAGTCCCAGATTGCAATCTCTCATTTTTGGGAAGATGAGAGAGATCATGATCATGCTCATTCTCATACAATATAATTTGTTAGAGAAATCCCAATCTCCTCACAGGTCAACTGGTGGAAAACAAGAAGCATGCTGGATGGAAAGAGGCATCACCCAGAGAAACACTTCCTGACATTTGTAGGAGACAGGAACTATGGGATGATTCCTGGCCTGGAGCCCTTCAGTGAATTCCGCTTGACAGTTTCGGCTTTCAACTCCAGAGGAGATGGCCCTGAGAGCTCCCCTGTGGTGTTTGAAACTCCAGAAGGAGGTAAGACAAGAGGAAAATAGGGGATGGAGGGACATAAATTGAAATTGTCCTTGGGACAAGGTGAGTTGATTCCCTTATTTAAGGTGATAATAAAAACTCCACCATTTGTAGAGCCCTTCACTCGAAAGGGGAGCTTTGGGTGTTGAGCTGCATTATATCCTCATTTAACAAGAATTTGTAGGGACAGACCTGTTCACTCTCCTCTGAAAGCTCATCCCTGTGTTTTCCAGTCCCTGAACAACCACGTTTTCTCAGGATCCTGAACTTTGACAAGGACTCAGTCACTCTGTCCTGGGGACTTCCCAAGAAAGCCAATGGCCACCTCACTGGCTACATTCTGCAGTACCAGATAAGTATGTACCTTGTTTGCTTTGAGTTCAGAAGTGAAGCAGGATTAGTTAAGAAAAACTCCCAGGTGTGATGTGCACAGAGGCTGTCAGAAGGCAGGCTGCGGTTTTCCATGCAGTTTTTCCCGTGGAAGCTCCCATTACTGCCATTCCCTGTCCCACCTTTATGGGCTGATTCAATTATTTCATATTGGCAAATTACCCCTAATGTAGTGGCTAAAAAGACCCATAAATTGTAGGTGCACTTTACTGGAGTGAAGCTCATTTAATACAAAGTGAATTGTGATGAGAGCACTCTATGAAGCCACATTAATGTGGATCTGCACATTATGTCAGGGAGTTTCTCCCCCCTAAGGTGCCTCAGCAGAAACACAAAGGACCACCTGAGTAATGGTGTTGAGTAATCACACAGAAAACAACCAAATACCAGGGGATTTCTTTCTTCCTTGCCTAGGAAAGAAATGAGAAACAACCTCAGGCAAGACCCAGTACTTAGCCCAGACTGCCACAACACCATTTGTGTGGTGTGGTGATAATTCAGTGTACTTTACACATTCTTTGAAGGTGGAAAAGGATGAGTCTGTGCCCTGTTTATAAAAAAAAAAATCACCCATGTACTTTACACTTCTCTCTGCTGATAGCAGAACTGCTCAGATGCCTTTGCATCTGGATCTTCCCTTTGGTTTTGCTGATTATGGGCAGAGTGGATCTATTTATTGAATGCCAGAGTGGTTCAGTGGTCATCTCAGTCATCCCACAGCACAGGAGTGTGTCCAGATGGCTCTGGAATATCCCCAGTGGGGGAGACTCCACACTTTCTCTGTCTCTGTTCCAATACTCAGTCACTGCACAGGAGAAGTTCTTCCTCGTGTCCAGGTGGAACTTCCTGTGCATCAGTTCCTGCCCATTGCTGGGCACTGCCAAGCACAGCCTGGTCCATCTTCTGACACCTCCCTTCAGATATTTCTGTATGTTTATAAAATCCTCTCTCAATTTCCTCACAATCCCTCCTTCAGATGCCAGCTCTGAGGAGCCAGAGCAGCTCACAGCGCACCAACCACCCTCTGAGCTGCCGGTAAAAGTTTGCAGATGTTTGGAAGCAAAACACAGGAGCTTTCTTAGATATTTTCACAGATAAAAGGAGCAATTCATAGATATTTAATGATTGGGAGACAGTTCTTCTTACCTCCCTCTCAGGCTGTGCATATGTGCAATCAGAGAGCTTTTCAAAAGCAGTGGTAGCTCACTGAACCATTGGGAGATCGGCATGGAGGACATAAATCCCATTTTACGCTGGCAGGAAGGGCACCTGCACTCACCCAGCCTTCCTCCTTCCCTCTCCTTGCTGAGTGCTCCCTCCTTGGGGTGCTCAGGACACATTTCTGTGGCTCTGACTTGTGGCATTCACATTCTCAGAAAAAATTCCTTCATCCAGGATTTTTTCTTGGGAAGCTGTGAAGCCTTGGAGAAAAGGAAAACAATTCTTATCTCGTTTGCTTCTCCTGTGTTTTGCTGCTTTGGAATGTGTTTGGAGATTGTTTACCCACAGGTTTGATTGGATTCTGGTGTGAGTTCTTTTGACTCATTGGCCAACTGGGGCCAAGCTGTGTCAGGACTCTGGAAAGAGTCACGAGTTTTCATTATTATCTTTTTAGCCTTCTGTAAGTATCCTTTCTGTATTCTCCAGTTTAGTATAGTATTCTTTAACATAACATAGTATCATGAAGTAATAAATTAGCCTTCTGAGAACATGGGGTCAGATGCATCATTCCTGCCTTGGCAATGTCGGGGCATTTCCCAGCAAACGCAGTTCTGACCGAGGTGCTCTTCCCTTGCAGTCAACGAGACGCACGAGGTGGGCGCCGTGAGCAACGTGAGCGTCGCCAACCGCTCGGCGCTGAGCTGGCGCCTGGCGGGGCTCAGCCCCAGCACCAAGTACAAGTTCTACATCAAAGCCTGCACGGCCAAGGGCTGCGGGAAGGCGGCCACCGAGGAGGGGCTGACGCTGGCCCAAGGCGGTAAGTTCACAAAATGCGCCTCGGTGTGGAGGAGCTCTGAGAATAGCGGGGAAAATGTTGCGTGTGGGTAGAACCTTACAGAATTAGGGCCTTGTTACCCTTGTAAAATCATGGCTTGGGCCTGCTGCTTTGGCTAAGTAGAAGAGGACTGTGGGAAAGTGACTCAGCTGAACTGGAGGTAGGAAAACAAGTTACAGAACCATGATGTGCTCACGTCGTGGTTTGTGGTGGTTGGTTGAATTGCATTTGTTGTGCTTAAATGGAATGCAGCTGATAATGGCCTAACTGCTTTAAAAGGCCTGGTTTTTGCAGTAAAGAGCTCTCCTTTGCACCTGCTTGGGGACTGTGCATTACTCTTCTTGGTAACAGAAAAATCCATTGGGAATAATCCAGGCTTGACATTTCCTTTGTAATTAGGGGAAGTAAGTTTGTTTTCCTTGCCATGAGAGCAGTTAATGTGGCCATGGTGTTCTTCAGGGAAGCAGAGCTCATCTGTTTCATTTTGCTGTGCAGTCCTGTTTCTGTTCCCACCCATCAACTCCTTAAGCCATGCTGGAATAAGTGAATTGCATTCAGGCACGAACAGAAAATTGAAGATGCAGATAATCTCTTCTCAGTAATACTGTAAAAACAAATTCTGCCTATGCATGAAGATGGGGGACTGCCAGCAACATTAGGGTCACCTGTTTGACATGGAAAATCCAGATAAACATCACATTGACTACATTTGTTCCATTATTTATGATTATTTTATCAGAGACCAGGAGTAAGTGTTTGTGTGCCACTTACACCCTGTGCTGAAACACTGATGTTCAGTGATTTAGAGGAAAATCCCAAGCACTCTATGATAGCTCATCTTTCACTTTCAGCTGAAATGAAATAAAATGTACTGTGCTCAGCAAGTCTGAGAACTCCACAGTATTGAGGAGCAGCTCCTTGCTATTATTCAGAAACCATTGCTGTGCATTTACCCTGGGGAAGGAGAAAGAGAATGTGATAAGCAAAAGAGACCTGACTGCATCATTTTTAGCAAAGATAACAATGTGCAGCAATGTTGATGGAAAACAGAAAAATGGCCCATGTGCTGTTGGACTTCTAAGTTGCAGAATTCTTTTCAGTTACTGGTAAAACAGGAAAAATGTGTTTTTAACCTTCATGTCCCAGTTCCAGATCCAGTCAGGAACTGCCATTTGTTTCCCAAGCAGTAAAACTCCTTCTCAACTATCTTTTGGCCTCCAGTCTCACTGTAGGATACCTGGTAGCAACTATTAATCACCATGATTTATTCCTCATTAAGAAAAGAAAAATATCTCTTTTTTTTCCTAAGATAAAAATACCCCATTTTCCCCATTAGCTGCCTTTTCTGGCCTTCATTGGGCAACCAGAATAATGTGTTTTGACTCCTTGAAATAACGTTGTCATGGTTTAGAGATGTTGACATTCATTTTGTTCTCATTCTCTACTTTCCTAAACTCTGTTTCAGTGGTGGCAACACCTGATTCGTGTGAAATACTCTTAGACTAGAGCAGTATAATTAATGAAAGCTGCAAGGGTTCAGTTCTATGATTTATGTGTGCTCCTTGCTGCTTCTCAAGCCACCCTAAATTAGGGCACTGCATCTGTCACTGAGATACCATTAGAGTTCTGTGTCATTATTTGCTGCCTAAATTGTTCAGATATTTTTCACCTAAACATGATAGGCTGAAAAAAAATACTAAAAATCACTCTTTTCAGTGACCTCCTTGGGGTTTTAAGCTGTGGTTTGGGGAGCGAGGCAATTGTTCAAAATTAAAACAATCTCTCTTTTTGAAGGAGGGGAGTGATTTCAGAAGTCAAAGTTTATCATTTCAAATGACCCACGTAAATGACAGATATAAAATGTGGTGCCCTCTGAAATGAAAGTCCGTGATGGAGCACTCCACGTTTCTTTGGGGGTTGATTCAGTGATTCTATAACCACTCTGTTCCAGTTTAATAATAAACCCATAAAGCTCTCCTTGTTCATTTTAAGGCTTTGGAAACTTCCAGTGCTGCAATTCAGCCTTTGCCATTGGTATTTCAGAATTTCTCAATGCAATCTCAATGCAGGAAAGTGGAGATGTTGAGGTGGCAGCTCTGGAGTCATTCACATTTATTTTTTTACTTATCTCCATCACTGATGTTGTTTTAATTTATTTGCTACTGTTGTCTGGAATTAGAAAGAAAAGGGAATTTCCTTATTTAATATGTGTGAGGATTTGTGTAGCACCGCTGAAAACAAATCTGTACAGGGAAAATAACTCAGAAGTTAAACACTTATAGGCAACCTAAGATCTTTATCATTTCTTGATAAAATGATTCTTGAACCAGAGCAAAAGGGGATTTGGATTGTACTGTAAAATAAATAACAGCTTAATTTCTGTGGTTTCATCTTGGTTTCATTCCACAGAAGAAAGTCCTTAGAAAATGACTATAATCTTTGTCTTCATGTTTTCAGGCAGTATGTCTTAAATGACCTCCAAACTAATTAATTTTCCCCTTGAAAATGTCAATTTCCCCAAGATCATTAGCCTTCAGAAACATAACACAAAATAATGTTCTTCCAAAAGTGAAAAGATTAATTTAATGTAGCAGCCCTTCTTTAACACAAAGCTCCTTTTCATCTTGTCACCAGTGTTGCTCGGGGATTACCAAACACATATTACATGTTGAGAATTTTCATTGTGTGTCCAGAAATCCAAGCATTAATGAGAAATTCATCCACATGAAGCCACACAGTTGTAGGTTTATTCTCCAGGGAAGCCAGGAAATAAAAGTTCACCAATTTCATTATATTCCAGTGGCTGTTGGCACGTAATTCCCAAAGGCTTTTGGAAAATCTTAGGGAGAGGTCCTGTCCTTCAGGACCAGAGTAACCATTTGGAACAGCACATGTGGGTTTAGCTCTCCTTTGCCATGGGCACAGTGGAAAAGGAATAATAAAATACTTTTCCTATATGTAACCACTGGTGCTGTTAGCAGCCAACCCTATTTTTTAGCTCACAATCTAGAAAATCTAATTAAATCAGTGCAAATTTCTTGATCATCACCTCACCTATAAATTTCTCTCAATAAACTTTACATACAACAGGTTTGCTAATCTCTGTAGTGTAAAATAATCCAAATTTATCATGAATCACCACCTGCACTGAAAAGCCCTGAAAATGAAGGATACTTGTGCTGCATATTTATACATTTTTAACAGCCAGGCAGCAGGGGAAAATGAATGGAAGTTCAGCTTTGCATTTATTGCAGCAGATGTATTTAGACAGGTATGGTTATAAATTAAGATGCTGCCCACAATTAGTATTTAGCTCTCAGACTGCCAGGTTTGGTTTTTTTATGTAAGTGTATTTTATAACAGATGTACTAACTTTTGGAGAACACTCTGGCAAATCTTCGGGGGTGGTTTCTATTGTTTTTCCCTTTATATCATAAGCTTCTATAAAAAATGTGTGCTCTGTTCTGCTCATAAATCTTGGAGCCCAGTAGGAATATTGCAAAATTGCAGTTCAGTGTTTAATGCTCATGCAAGTCCCATGGTGTGGCTGATAAATAGTGGGGGAAGATGAGAAGTGCTGGTGATAAGCCTTTATTACTAATGCTCCTTCTCCCTTATTGGAGATTAAAAACCCAACCCAACTGCTTTCAATTTTCTGCAGCTAATTCCTGCAGCTTTCAGGATGTTCCTGCCCTTCCAGAATGTGGAGCTTTGCCTTATCTTTGTATCTTTGCTTTTATTTTTCAGGAGGCCACATTGCTTTTTCTATTCCAGCCACCAAACCCGCCCCCATTAGCAAATATTTCTGCTCTGTAGGGCTCCTGTTGGCTGTGTCACACAGACCAGGAAGAAATGGCATGGAAAGAAACCTCATAATCACCCAGCACTGGACACTTGCTCTGAGTTTTAAAGGAAAAAAAGTGTTTTGGGATAGGAGATGGTAAATGGAGAGCTGTTGGTAAATCTCCAGTGCCAGGTTAGGCTGGGCTCATCCTCATCCCAAGGTGTCCATCCCAGCCCTGAGCTGCTCCATGTGCCAGGGCAGCTGCAGCATCAGACAGAGCTGAGCAATGAGTGGAGAGAAAAAGGGATTTTTTTCAGCCATCTCACTTAACTCTTTCTGCTTCTCTAAAGAGCTGATGGTTCAGAAAGAGTCTGCCACAACCTGGGAAAAAATAGGGGGCAGAGAAGGACTGGTAATGTTGGTTTAAGAATATGCACCACAAACTACCTGGCAGGAGCTCAAGGTTTAGGATTTGCTTGCCAGGAATTCAGGAGAAATTCTTCCTTAGGAGGCTGGTGGTGTGAACACTTTGGGTCATGTAGTTCCCATGTCATGCACAAGTGTCTTGTGGTATTTAACAGACATTGGGTTGAAGGTTCGTGCTCATTACTGTTGCTTTATGGATAATATTCCCATTTTTCTGATGCCTTGATTTTAAAGATTGTAATTAAAATGTACCTGTGGTATCCTGTTGCCTAATTTTCGGTTTGATTAAAAACTATAGCTAGATTTCACATACTTCATTTAGCAGAAATTACCCGTAGATGGATTAATTTATGCTAATGAGCTGTGCTTCAGTATCAGCAGTGTTTCAGCTGGATGTGTTCTCTCTGGTCCCAGTGGTCTGCTCATTTAACTGCTTATTGTAATACGTGGAGAGTTGCCTTAAAAACTTATCCTGAACTGCTGCTTTGACTGTGCTTGGATTTATCTTAATCTTTTTTTCTTTTTTTCCCTTCAGCTGTCAACTCAGCCTTAATCTCCAGCAGCTTCTTGCTTTGCTTATTTACTAGTTGAAGTATTAATGAGCATTGTTCCCCTGTCAGTGCTAATTGGCCGAGTAGTTTTCAGATTATACTTTGTGCTCAAGCCTTAGTTTACATGGCTTTGGACAAAACAGGCAAATCAGGCGACTGAGAACCATTCAATAATTATTTTTAATAAGTGCAGCCCCTCCAAATTTCTCTCCTGCTATCGAGGACAGGGACACTTCCATGTTGTAGGAGATCCCTCCATGTCACACACAGTTCTCAACTTGCTGAGTGGGCTGTTCATGTCCAGGCAGTGATTGTCAACTGCTGTAATGTCCTTTTTCCTACTTTCCACAAAAGCTGTTCTGAAAAATCTCATTTAATGCCCACAATCTGAATGCAGATGGGGTTTCAGGAAGTGTTTTGCAAATAACAAGGTTCCATAACCAGAACTAGTGAAATTTACCTTTTCCTAATCAAATATTAAACTCATCAGCAACACTTAAATGCCTAAATATCCATTTACAGGCAAATTGTTGAGTGACTTCTAAACCAGTGCTTTGTGCAAGCATTGTGTAATTTAAAAGGACACAGAAAATCACTGTCAGGAGAGAAGCAAGAAGAAATCCCACTGTTAATTTTTTCTGGGAGACGTATAAGGATCCATATCCAGCTACCAAGCTGTCTGTGCTTCCCTGCTGAGTTCAGTTCAATGGGAGAAGCATCAAACCCCAGATTATCCATACAAAGCAAGCTCGTTTGCAAGTTGTAATTTTTTAAGCAGGCATTAGTTCAAGCAGATCCATAATCCCCCATCAATATTAACTTTCATCCTGGGAGATGTACAAACCCCTTCCTGAACATCAGGATTACTCCGGTCTGCCGTTGATTTCATCTGATGGAACATTAAAAATCAAACAGAGGGGAATGTTTGGGGGTATTTTTTTTTGCTTTGGAAAATCAGATTGCCTGATGCCAAATGTTTACAATGACATGTTTTATTTGTCTGTTATTTGTAACTGTGCATTTCCTAGGCTTCCTGTCCATGAATGCCATTAATCCCTATGCCTTGAATGTGTGCATTCCGTAGGTAAAGGCAGCGGCAGGATTTCAGACGCAGTAAAGCCCACCCCAAAGTTTCAGCCCAGCGAGGCCCTTGAGCCTGGCACTGAGTACACAATCCGCCTAGTGACTAAGAACTGGGTGGATAACAATAGCATTTTTGAAGATGTAATTGAGACCAGGGGGAGAGGTGAGACACGAAGCCCTTCGAGGTGCTGAACGTTTGTTTTTCCGTGTGAATTGATGCTGAGGTTCCTGTGCAGTGTGAGTGACCCAAACTCATCGTTCCGTGCTGTGGCGTTGAGGTTGGCCCTTTGCAGTTGAATCCCATGGCAGCACAAACACACCCCGGGTTCTTGATTGAGCCCTGTGCTTTACAACAGCCTGGAACAATCCCAAACCTTCACAAACCTGTGCAATGTGAGAGGGCAGCTGGGACAAAACCCTTAAGTGGCCAATTTGGTGATTCGCGTGTACTGGGGGCACTTTTACCTCTCTCTCTTTCGCAAAACTGCTTTTGCATGAGAGGCTTAACAACTCTGTGCTCAGCTTTCCTGTGTGGTGCTAATCCTGTGAGTCAACTGCTCTCTCAGAGCCACCTTGCCAAGTGTCTGTGTTGTCCCTTGTCACCCGCACGCTCCCCTCCAGTCCCAAATGTCACACTCTGGACATTGCTGCCTCGCGTTGAAGCTGAGCACCTTCAGTAGCCATAGACTGATTCCATTAAGGTCCAGAGAGGAACGTGATGTGTTCGTGTTTTCGTGGGGTGCTGCCCTTTCCCTCTGATTAATTCTCTGCCTTTTTGCTCCTCTCCCATCTCCTCAAGCCTACGCTGGCATTTACGAGGGGATTTCCACCCAGGGCTGGTTCATCGGGCTGATGTGCGCCATCGCCTTGCTCACCCTGCTGCTGCTGACAATTTGCTTTGTCAGAAGAAATAAAGGAGGCAAATATTCAGGTAAATGGATTTATTGTCCTCTCCCTCTGTTCACATGTTAATGACCAACATCCTTCAGAGGTTTCTCTCTGGGGGCCGCAAGGCCGCGAGCACAAACATCCAATTAGGGTTTGTAGCTTTTGATAAATATCCACGGAAGGGATTTTAATGAATGTAAGTGGAGCTGTGCTGTGTGCTGGTCACAGAGCCTGCAAAGGCCTTTCCTAGCACTCCTGGAATATTCCAGCATTTAATCCAGCAAAGTCCTTGCTGGCAGGACTCCCTGCCCACTTTCCACCTGGGAACTGCTGCTGGACACATGGCTAGAACTTTCACAGGCAGCTTAACAGTGGAATATTTGGCCAAAAATTACCTCTGTCAGTATCCAAGCAGTGAGTAAGGATTTAGGTAAATGTATTGAAGTAGAAATCTGGTTACCCAAAGAGGTGATGGATGCTCCATCTCTGAACACTTTCAGTGCCAGGTTGGACGGGGCTTGGAGCACCCTGGCACAGTGGAAGCTGTCCCTGCTGGCAGTGGATGGGATTTAAGGTTCCTTCCAACCCAAACCATTCCATAAATTCTATAAATACTTGCTCATAATAAATTAGGGAATGGTCCCAAACTCTTGGAAGCTCACGGGTTGTGTCCAGCCAGCTCCAGGCCAGGCTGGAGGTGAGTGCAGATGGTTTTCCCATTGCCCCTGGGAAAAGAAAAATCCATGGCAGAACACAAACAGAGATCTGTCCTTTATTTTATTTGCACAGTGAAAGAAAAAGAAGATTTGCATCCAGATCCCGAAGCTCAATCAATAAAAGATGAAATCTTTGGGGAATATAGGTAAATAGGACCTGCTTTCACAAGGCTTTGTGTTTCTTGGGGTTTTGTTTGTTTCCAAATGCCATCATTATTCGGGACATTTTTATGGCATGCAATTAATGCTGTTTTTCATTTTCAAAGCAAACCTCATAGGAGTGGATAAGAGTAGGAATATAAAGGTATATCCAGTATATTTCAATCCATCCAAGCTGGGATATAAGGAAATGCTGATATATTGGTGCTTATTTTTCACTTTTTTTTGTTTTTTTGGTTTTTTTTTTTAATTAGCATTATTAGCATTGTATGAATAATGTAAATATATATGATAATTTGGGGTGTTGCTGAAAAGCCCACTGAAGTCAATGCATTGAATTCTATGTCTTCAGTGGGTTTTTGAAACTCAGACCCAAATAATGTAATATGGGGAATTTTGGGGAAGAAAACAAAGAAAAGTTTGGAATATGGTAAAAAATATTAAAAAAACCAAACATCTCTCTACAGAAATCCCTGTAGGAGAATTGAAATAACCACTTTGGCTGCTTTAAAATAACTAAAACTTCTAGCAATATGTAATTGTGATATGAAGTAAAATACATAATTATAAGAACCATGCTGGAAAACTGGTGTTGCTGCCCTTAAGGGCATAAAATTGCTGTTGAAATCCCACTTATATATACTACATTATTTGTACTGGAGTAGGGCTTTTTTTTTCTGCATAATTTCATCTTTATTTAATTTTTAATGCTTTCTAATGGGACAAATATTTAGAAAGGTAAGAAAGCCCTGAGGTTAATAACTTTGACCCCCTCCTTTCCCCCTGAAATCCAAACTTGTCTTTTTTTCTGAGGAGAAATGCCCTGTGCAGAAAAGTAGTGATTTTTTTTCTGTGTTGTTTATGCACATATTGAGTCCATCCTGAGGAAATGAAGCTCAGGTTAATTTCTCTGTCCCTCCTTAGATAAAATTGCCAAAGATTTGACACTGAGTTGGCATTAGCAGCAAGGGCTGTACTTGAGTAATGATGTCCCTAATCTAGAGGCCTAATTTAATTTTTTTTATATAATCTTTTAATATTTTCCCAATCCCCCCAAATGTCGTGTTCTTGTTCCTCTTCTGTAGTGCCATTGGGAGGAATGGCCAGCAAAATTCCCCTTTTTTTCCCCAGAATTTTTGTCTTGGACCTGCCCTTTTTCATGGAATTTTGACTGAATAGAGTCTGCAGCTGCAGACATTCCTTCTGCTTTGGTTTTTCCCAGTTCCTCCCTGTTAGTAAGGGCAAACTCCAGTGAGATAAACTCTGGCAAAATAAAATAACAGCAGAAAAAAAGGGAAAAAGCACCTTTATTGGTCATTTAAACTCAAAGGGATGCTCCCAAAGCAGTGAGATGTGATGTCACTGAAGTCATATCACCTTATCCATGCACCTCCAAAGGAAAATTAAATAAATAGGCCCTGAATGTTGTCCAGTGTTTTGTAAAATGAGAAGTGTCTCCCTGTGGGGTTCCAGATATTTGACATCAGCCCTGGTGGCTGGAACAGACCCCTCCAATCCTTTCCAGCATTCCCTTTTCCTTCCCCCTCCCTCTCTGTCCATTCTGTCTGCCCAAGGCAAAAAGGGGGAAAAACCCCAAATAGATGGGTGTTGATAATTCCCATTAACCAATAAATTAGTTGGAATCATGACAGAATCCCGTGTGCGAGGAGCAGGGCAGGACTCCGAGGTCAGCTCATCCTCACTGCACCACCCAGGTGTCCCTCACTGTCCCCTTCCCAAGCCACGAGCAGTGTCCCTCGAGCAGTGCAAGGCAGATTTTTGGAAAGGCATCTCTTTATTTTGTAGTGACAGCGATGAAAAGCCGCTGAAAGGCAGCCTCCAGTCACTTAACGGGGACATTAAAGCCACTGGAAGTGCTGATAGTCTGGTAGATTATGGAGAAGGGGAGCATGGCATGTTCAATGAAGATGGTTCATTTATTGGAGCTTATTCTGGATCTAAGGAAAAAGGATCAGTGGAAAGCACTGGGAGTTCTACGGCGACTTTTCCTCTCCACGCCTAAAATTGGTGTTTAATTGTGGTGTTCATCCTGGTTAGCTCCCCACAGTTACCTCGTGTGCTGGGGAGCAGGGTGCCAGTTGAGCCAGTCAGGAAAATCCTGACATCCAGGTAAAACAAAAACGAGTCACTGCCACTAAAAGATGATTTTTCCATCCTTATTTCTATGTGTTTTCTTCTGAATAAAACAGAGTAATTCTTTTTTCTACACGATGTGTTAGTCTGAGCAAACCAGAGTTTGCTCTGGTGGTGCATCTGTGTCCTTGCCTGCTGCTCCAGGTGTTTCTTAGGCTTGGAATATGTTTCTCTGTGTACTATTCTTGCCCTGTATGGCTGTGTGTGTGTGTAAAATTCCCTTGTGGCCTTGGTTACAACCTCGAGGTTATGGCACCAACAAAACCAGGTTACTCTGCAAAGTGACACAATGAGGAAAATTAGAATTGAAAATGCCAGAGAAATATATTCTATATATTGTATCACTTTTTTCCTAAAGAATTAAACTCCTTTGTGTATGATATTAAAAAAAAACAAAACTGTTTTAGTGGTTACAGCTGACGTCAATTCCAATACTTAGAAATGCAGCTTTACCCACAGGAGAGTGTGGGTGAAGCTGCTGCCCAGTAGCTGGCACTATTTCCTTAAATAAGTTTAGCTGCAGCTCTTTCCTGTGGCAAGGCAAAACAGGGTTCCCATCCACCATCACTCGAAATATTTTTAATTTTTCCCAGCTGCAAGCTGCATTTCTAAGCAAACTCCTTGGTGTCTGTCTCATATCTGTATATTTGTGAGCTAGCCAACATTTCATGGAGACGTTGTACATATGATATTAATATTGACACAAGTCCAGAGCAGCCTGGTTTTATTTTGAACTGAGACATGTTGCTAGCATGGGTCTGTATAGCTGTGTAGGAATGAGTAGATTTGCTTCTCAATATGGATTTGGACCAGCAAAATTAGTTTCCAGAAGGAATTGTGTGTATAGGAATCATCCAAACTTCTCATCATTCAAGCAACACCTAAACTAGACCTACCTGAATTTCAAGAGTTCATTTCTTTTCAGTCTATTCACTGTTAAATAAACAAAAAAAAACAAAAGCAAAGAACAAATATTCTGGTAGAGTTTGTTTTCCTATTTTGTTGACTGAATGCTGGTTTAAATCTGGTTCTTTGCCTCTCCAACACTAACTCAGCTGAGCTGTACAGCACATTTTTTTGGTCTTTTTGTATTGGAATCTCCTGAATCTCTTTTTAACAGCATTTGTATTTTTGAATCTGCTTGTTTGAGTAGAGCATCAACGTGGCTTCATTTCTTCTGTCACTCCCATCATAAAAGTTTTTCAGTAGTTCCTGCAGGAGGAATAGATCCTAAAAGCTGTTTGGCATCCTGATAGCAATTAGGCAAATATCCCCAAATGGCTCCTCCGTGATTTCAGTGGAAGAAAGAGAGGAAGCAAGAATTACTCCCATGGTTCTGAGTTTCCAGCAAGGGCTACAGTTAAGCCCAGGGAAATGCAGATTTTTCCCAGTGGAAGGGCTGTGGATCCCACACAGCTCCCCCCAGGCTGGGGCTGCTCCTCAGAGCTTGGCAGTTTCTGGAAGCCTTTGGTGCTCAAGCTTCTGCTTATCTGTGCCTCTTTTTGGGGTTTTAATTGGAGCTTTTAAGGGCTTTTTGTGTAACCTCTGTTTGGGAAAAGCAAACCCCAAACAGCCACCCCAAAAGCCCCATTCAGGCTGTGCCTATGAGTATAAAATGCTGAGTGGAAATCTGCCCTCAATCAAAAATTATCCCATCCCATATCCGTGACCCAAATTATTCACTTACAATTATTTATAAAGTTTTGTTTTCTGTACTTCACTCAATCCAAACATCAAAAAGGTCCAAAAGCCTTTTACTTCTGGGGGGGAAAGTAGTTTTCCAAAGAAGGGAATGCACAATTAGAGAAATGTGAAAATTGGCATCTCGTCAACACAGACATTTCCCAGCAGCATCTTTATCTGCTGACTCGTGTCTGCTGCAGCCCAAACCTGATAAAATCTAAGAACTGATTAGGCTTTTGACAACCTGCTGCTTGCTTTGGGCTGGTTTTCATGTATTTCATTTGGAAGTCATCTGCAGTGCTCAAAGGTCTTTGAAAATTAGGGAATGAAATTGGGGGTGAGCTTCCCCCAAATCCTCACTTGGGGCTGTGCCTGCACACCCCCATCACATTTTCTTGTGGGTCACTGCAGATAAACCAGACCCCTCATCCCAGAAAATGCTTCTGTTAAACAATGTTAAACAATTTCTCTGCTCAGTTTCAGACCATATTAGTGAGTGTCAAATGCTCCAATAATGGATATAAATCCCCGTGCAGCTCCTGCTCTGTTGCTGCTAAGAGGTGTTTGTGCTGTGCTGGTGCTGCTGCTTTTTCCACTCAGATTTTAATTCACAGCCTTAAATCTTAATGTTGGTGTTCCACGATGCCTCAGGACCTAAAAATCAAACAGGGAGGAAAAGATGTGCAATGGAATCTGGATTTTTGAACACGGGTTTTGAGGAATATGCCCAGTGAATATTAAACAAGTGGCTCAAACTCCCAGGAAATCTCACTCACCTGAGCTGTTTTCTCTTCCCCAGTCATTTATTTTCCTTTTTTTCCCCGCACTGGGATTTTTTCTGCTGTAAAGGAACCCTGGAAAGTGCAGGTTGGTGATGGTTTTTTAAAGATTTTTCCCGAAAGTAAATTAGCAGAGCAAGCTGAGGTTTTCCTGAGGAGTTTTTTGTCATTTAGGGAGCTGGGCTGTGTTTCTGCTCTGTGCCAGGTGAGAGGAAGTGTGACCATGTAGCTCAGTGAAAGTGTCACCAAGTGCTCTGCAGTTCATGGAACTTCCTGACTTGGAAGGGATCCACAAGTTCATCAAAGTCCAACTTCTGCCCCTGCACAGGACAGCCCCCAAAATCACACCCTGTTCTGAAATAGTGCACTGAGCATTGAATCTTTACCTTGGCTTATTTGGACTTTGTTGAATTTTTTTTTTTCTTTCTCAGGCCAGGGGTGTTTATTGAAATTAGCTGCTGGAAACCCATGGTGATTTTATTAATTAACACCTAGCAGGGAATTCCAGCCTGCCTGCTGGGAGGAGGGAGTCCAGCCACGGGAGCAGAACAGGGAATTCTTAATTATCCCATCCCAGGCTGTGGTTGGGTCCATTTGGTTCTGACACATTTTGCCTCAGAACAAATGTGAGAAGGGAAATGGCACTTTCGGATTTGATGTCCAAGTCAAGCCAGGATGTCTTTTCTCCCAGGGGAGCTGTTTGGATTCCCAGAGCAGCAAAATATTGATAATTTTTCTCTAATTTTATGTATATATATATATACATATACACACACACAGAGAGACATATATGTGTGTGTGTGTGTATATATATATATAAAAAACATATTTTATATATATATATACACACACATATATATATATAAATTTGATGACATTATCAAGAACCTGCAGGAACAGCCCCAGCTTCCCTCTGTCAAAATGAGGGGATCCAATCTCCAGAAACCCTCGTGGCTCTGCACTCCAGCAGGATAAATGAACAGCACTGGGCATCAAAGCCCTGCTGGGGCTGGATCTGTAGGAAGAGCAGAATTAGGAATCAAATCAAGAAATTACTTTCCCCCTCTGGATAAAATTGTGAGCCCATGTATAAAGAAATTTTAAAACTTTTGTTGTAACTCTCATCCTAAATGCATCTAATTAGCAAATGATTTAATGATTTTTTTTTTTTAATGATGGATATTTTTTCTGCTGTGTTGATGTTGCACAAATTCCAGTGAGTAGCTCTTTTCCTGTTAACTGCTTCCATTGGCTGAATGCTTCAATCCAGTGCACAAGAGGTTTTCATCAAAGTTTTCAGGCCAATATTATTTCTGACATGAAAGCAAATAGTAGCACCATCTTTCTATACATATATATATTTTAAAAAAAAGGTGGGGTTTTTAAACAGTGACTCCACATTTTGTAAAGAAAAGTTAGAATAACATTCACTGCTCCTTGAGCTTTTGAGAGGAAACCTCAGCATCATTTTTCACAGCCATTATTTAGCAGATGAGAAGTGTATTTAGGTTATTTTGCTTATCTGTAAGAACAGATAGAGAGAAAGGAAATTCTTCATGGAGAATTCCCTTTGTTTGCCAATGGATCACACCCTCAGCTGCATCTCTGTCAGTGTTTATGACAAAAAATCAAGGTACAAACCACGCTGGAGTAGCAGGACATGTTTACATTGCAGCTCTGGATCTCTCATGTCAAATCTCAAGTGATCTGCACTGATTTGTTCTGTTTTCAGGCAGGAGCCCCTCAGGGGGTTTGAGCCAAAGCATTCTGTCTGTTCATTTTTTATTATTATGGTTCTGACTTTAAACAAGAGACTTTGTAATTTCATGAGAAAAAGATCAAAGCAAATGTGGTGTCACCATCACAATGTTACTTTTTTGGGAGCTAAATGTTAGTGTGCATTGATTAAAGTTTAGAGAAACGTGTTGTACTGTAGTTGCTGTTTGTACCACGCAGATGTGCACGTACGGTTTGAAAAGATATTTTCATTTTACATGAAATACAACTTTGCTAATAAAAGTTTGACTTGATGTAATCTTCAAAAGCCTTGGCTGCAATCAGCAAGTTTCTTTTGTTTGATTTGGGTGTTTTGTTTGATTCTTTTTTTCACTTGACACTGTTGATTTGCTGGGAATCTGATTGAATTGTGCCTCACAGCCTTCTCTAGGCTGTGACATGTGGGGGTTTTCTTTTTGGTTTCACACCAAGGTTGAGCTGCCCTTGGCTTTCACTGGGATTTTTGGACACCATGGATCATCAGCCCTGTAGATATGAGAGCAAAGGATGAAGCTGACCTGCAAACATCCTGAATTTCATTCCTCATTTATTCCATGAGATCCTCTCCTGGACCAAACTATCACCCTATATATTGTCAGCATCTCTCACAGGCTTTACTCACCCTGTTAGCAGCACAAACCCTCCCAGCACAGAGTTTCTATTCCTCTTCGTTAAAGATCACCAGAATATTGGTAATCTTATCAATATCCAGGCTCACACAAACCAAAACCTTGCTTTGTTGTTTTTGGGGGGAAAACTACACTTGTGCCTAAAGTCTGGAATCTATATGTATTCATTTTATAGGAATTTAGTAAATGGGTTTTGTTTGCCAAGGAAAATACTTTGGCTCTTTTGTTACTCCCTCCCCTCTCCCCATCACCAATACTCTGTTCCAGGATTTATTCTACTCTGTCTGCCCATGGGCAAGGTTCTGCAGGTGAACAAAAATTCACCCTCCTGATACCTGGAACAGCCAAAGTGAGGACTCAATAACAGACAGCAGACAAATCTGTGGCAACTGATATTGCTGAAAAATCAATTTTTTAATGTATTTAACAGGAATCTGAAAGATCTGGTTGATGCTCAGGAGCATCACCCTTGATGCTGGCATGGCTTCTGTGCTGCTGAGTGTATTTCATTCATTCTGTGCTGTTCTGGGTGTATTTCACTGTATTTCAGTGAAATAAAGTCTCCCTTTTTCTTTCTTTCTTTCTTTTTTTTTTTTTCCACATGTTTTTAGCTGCTTCACTTCAGCAGGAAGGCTTCAGGACTTTTTTAATGCATTCTTCACCTGCAAGAACTGAATACCCTCAGTGGGAATGCAGGCCTGTGCTAACAGGCATTCACCTTTCAGGGAGGCATCAAGGGCATCCCGAGAAGGTTTTATTGTAATTCATATCCTGGAATAATGAGATTTACACTTTTCTCAATAGCATAATGGGGAGGAGAAAGTCCTACAATCATGTGCTTCACTGGAGTGAGAATAAAGGTGCTGCTGCCACCAGCAGGTGTGTGGGAGCAGATGTCACAGAAGTTTAAGGATAAAATATGGGATAAAATTCAATTTACATGAAACATGCATTTAAAAATATTCCTGGGCTATTTAAAATGAGAGGGAAGTAACTTCCAGTGGTGCAGGAGCTCTGGTTAATTATGTATAATTTTGAAAATATTTGATGTTTTGCTTTTGGGACAAAGCTGTCATTATTAGACCTGGTTTGGGGGCAGAGCATTCCTACTAATGCTCAAATATTTCACTCTGTTCACAAGGAAATGTCATCACTTCTCCACTTCAGCATCTGTTCATCAGCTGGGCACGCAGAGGAGTCCCTCAGGGAAACACCAGCATTTCCCTCTGCTGAAATGTCTGAGCTCTGCACATTTCTAAGCCTCATTTAACAAGGCTTGGGTGTTGTTTTTCTGTGCTTGAAGCCCACGTGATGTGGCTAAACCCACCCAGGAGAGCTGGAGCCCCAGCCCGTGCCCTGGATATAGAAATGGGCATTTCTGTACAAAAAACACTGCTCTTTGAATTGCAGGTTTTATTTTTTCTGTAGAGTTTGTACTTCTATATTTCATATCCCTCCCAGCCCGGGGTTACAGCATCTTCTTCACCATTTGTTTGGAAAATTGGGGCAGGAATATCTCAAACCAGAAAATAGGCAGCAGTACCTTGAGTTTGGGTGTTGTTTTTTTTTTTTTTTCTTTTACCATCTGGTTTTGTTTGGGAGTCCCAAAACTTGTCTGCAGTAGTTTTATTGACTTAAAACTCTAAAAATTGATGGGTTTGGTGGCTGTGCTTCACCTGGGATGGGGGTGAGAAGCAGGGCTGTGAGGAGGAGTGGGAGCAAGGGGCAGCTGTGGCTGGACAGGACCAGAGCTGGGTCATTCCCAACCACTCCTGCAGGAAATGAGCTACAGGAGGAACCTCTTTGCTAATTATCCCGGTGGCAAATCAGCTCTTCCTTCCTGTTTGGGATGGAGTTACCTTCGTGGCTGTGGAGTGACTCTCCCCCAGCTCTGGAATGGGGAAACTCTGCCCTGGTGTTCCAGCTCCTCGTGCGGGAACGGGAGCAGAGGTTGTGGCCCCCACACCTTTCCTGGGCTGGGATAGAGCTGGAGCTGCTGGAACCCCATGGAAAGATGGACCAGGTGAGAACAAGCAGCAGTGGGAACAGGGTTTGCTGCTGCTTTGCCTGGAAGAGGATGTCAGAAGACCCTGCTGAGGAGATCGGGGCTGTGATCCCTCCCAGGGGGGTTTGCTGTCCCAGGGCTGGATTTTCCCATTTTTCCCCGTGGCTGCTCTGCTGTCTTTCTTCTGGAATGTTTAAGGTTGGGTTTTTTTGGTTTTTTTTTTTTTTTTTGGTCCCTAAGGCAGCCGGGCTGCCTTTCCTGCACAACCTTAGCTGTTTTCTTCCCCCTCCTGACTATCAGGATTTATCTGTGTTGGTCCCTCAACTCCTCCATTCCTGGGCTTGGAAAAGTTCCAGCCTGTATTTGTCTGTGCTGTGTTGAGGGTTCTTCTTCCCCTTGTGTGTTTTTCATCACCTGTATGCTCCCTCATGTCTTTGGGAAGTTGTATTTCATTGACAGCTGCACCTGGGATTTTGAATTTAGCATGGATCGAGGTGTCAAGCTTCCAGCCTTTTTGGTACTTCAAAAAAAAAATTTAAATATGTATATTAAAAAAAAAAAAAAAAAACAACCACAATTTGTCCAAAGAAATTCCCATTTTCTCCTCTGGGTGATGAAGAGAAGATCTGGGCAGGAGTTCAGGCCCTCCCCAGTGTGTTACTGGTGTGGGACCTGCCTGAGCCTGGTCCTGGGCTGGGATTTGACCTGGGAATTGCTGGTGCTGCTCCCTCCTGTGCATCTCTGCAGGGGAATGGACACATGAGGCTGCTGCTGCTTTGAAATGAGTTTTTTTTCATGATTATTTATTAAATAATGAAAAGCATAAATGCAGTTTCTAATAAAAATCACCTTGCTATGTGTAAGCCTTTATGACTTCAGGCAGGCAACGTTCCGAGCATTTATTTTCCTCTAAGTGGCAATTTATATGAAACATGCATTAAAAAAATATTCCTGGACTATTTAAAATGAGAGTGGAGTAACAACTTCCAGTGGTGCAGGAGCTCTGGTTAATTATTTATCATTTTGAAAAGTACATTTTCCAAGCTCAGCATGGAGCCCAGAGGCCACCTAAGTAAATAAATTTACATAAAATGCAGTGAAATCAGATCATTTGACACAGTAATTCACCTAATTAAAAAAAAAAAAAAGTCTTGAGGAAAAAGAATGTCAGCAGAGGGATGTGGACGTGGCAGTGACAAATGGAGTGGGAATAACTCTGGAATACTGAGACATGGGAGAGCACCATGGAAGCTGCTAAAACCACTTGTTTTCATTGTTAGCTCATAAGGATGAGTTGAGGAGG